GCGTTAGCTTTGCACCATAACAGGGGCAGACGTGTTGCTAAGATGGTTGCTATGGCGAGCTGGAGTTTCCGTGTGAATGAAGGCATCTGATTGGCTCATATTTGACTTCACAAAGACAAAATCACAATATAAACACCAGGATCAAAGAGAGAGTGTGACACATATTTGACTTTACTTTTACATTTAAGTCAATAAGAGCCAGAGCAAGTTGGTGCAAGACTTCATATGAGCACTTCCCTATTGCCCTTCCTTGAGCTAGCGGTTTGGCATTGTCCATCTGTGTGCAGTCAATGAATTCAACTTACAGTGAGACATATGTAAGTCTATATCCTGTACTGGTTTCACATTTTATGTTGAAATGCAGGAATCAATGAACTTTTAAGCAAGATTCTGACTACTCGAGTTGATGTTTGAGGCGGTGGAGGAAACTGGGGCGCATGGAGAAAACCCACCCAGACACAGGCAGAACACGCAAACTCCACACAGGCTCCGGATCCAGAAGTTTCTGTTGTGTGGCTGAGAACACATGTAAAGCTCACCTCTAACCCAGCACTTCAGGGGGAGAGAGCTCGGCCCACTGCCCCAGGAGCCGCGTCTGCCCTGGGCCCCTCCCTGACGTGACTGTCTCTGGGTGACCATGTAAACAGACCAAAACACACGCTTTTAAATCTCATTTCAATGGGAGAGAAGCAGCTCCCAGCATAGAGGTAAGACGCACTTTACTGCTACTACCACTAACATCATAGAAAACACACTTTAGTGAGCCAGAGGACAAATGACTTAGGATTAGATTTTATTTTTATTTGGGACGACCAAAAAAGGATTGGGCTGAAGCACTGTATAAATATAATAACTATTTCATACTGATTACAAACTCAAAATACATGTTTGCAAGAATAGATTTAATATTTCTTGTGCACTTTTTCTTTTTCAAGGCAACAACGTATGATTTAATTGTTTCAGATTTTACAGTATTTTCCACTTACAATCCAAAATACAGATTAGTTCTGTATTCTGTTTATTGATCTTTTTTCTAAGTAGGAATGTAGAGTGTTTATGTTGGATAATGTTCTTAAATATGTGGAAAGTAAGGTTTCAGACATCGGGCACATGGAATAGATTTTTATCCATTCTTTTGGATGAGACTGACTTTCACAGACTACTTCTCCCACCTGCAAAAGAATAAGATCTATATGTTTTATTTAATCTGGTTTAGTCACTTGCACTACTAATTGTGTTATGTACATTCTCTATTTGCGTCTTTTGCTCATTATTGGGATAAAACCTGCTGATATGAGCTTCAAACATCACAGCAATAAAAACACTAAACACGTTAAGAAAATAGACGTCCAACTAATTTAAGTAAATATATTTTATCTTTAAAAAAAAAAAAAGGGTACAGTGTTTGGCCACTTTTTGTGAAAGCAATTGAGTGTGTGACAACATGACAGTTACCTTCATTTAAAGTCAGATGAAAACATTTGTGGCTCTTTCTGGTCACTCTCTGGGTTCTCTCTCTGGTCCCACTCTCTCTCTCTCTGGCATCTCTCTCTCTATCTCTGCTCTCTCTCTATGGTCCCTCTTTCTGGTCACTCTCTGGTATCTTTCTATGGTCCTTCTCTATTTGGCCCCTCTCTGGTCTCTCTCTGGTCTCTCTCTGGTCTCTCTCTGGTCTCTCTCTGGTCTCTCTCTGGTCTCTCTCTGGTCACTCTCTGGTCTCTCTCTGGTCACTCTCTGGTCTCTCTTTATGGTCCCTCTCACTGGTCTCTCTCTGGTATCTCTCTATATTCCTTCTCTTTGGTCCCTCTCTATGGTCCCTCTTTCTGGTCAGTCTCTGGTCACTCTCTGATCTGTCTTTATGGTCCCTCTCTCTGGTCTCTCTGGTCACTCTCTGGGTTCTCTCTCTGGTCCCAATCTCTCTCTCTGGCGTCTCTCTCTCAATCTCTGCTCTCTCTCTATGGTCCCTCTTTCTGGTCACTCTCTGGTATCTTTCTATGGTCCGTCTCTATTTGGCCCCTCTCTGGTCTCTCTCTGGTTATTCTCTGGTCACTCTCTGGTCTCTCTCTGGTCTCTCTCTGGTCACTCTCTGGTCTCTCTTTATGGTCCCTCTCACTGGTCTCTCTCTGGTATCTCTCTATATTCCTTCTCTTTGGTCCCTCTCTATGGTTCTTCTTTCTGGTCACTCTCTGGTCACTCTCGGGTCTGTCTTTATGGTCCCTCTCTCTGGTCTCTCTCTGGTCACTCTCTGGTCTCTCTCTGATTACTCTCTGGTCTCTCTTTATGGTCCCTCTTACTGGTCTCTCTCTGGTATCCCTCTATATTCCTTCTCTTTGGTCCCTCTCTATGGTCCCTCTTTCTGGTCAGTCTCTGGTCACTCTCTGGTCTGTCTTTATGGTCCTCATTCTGGTCTCTCTCAATGGTCCCACTCTGGTCTCTCTCTGGTCTCTCTCTCTAAGCCCCATCTTAACCAATGCTTATTATTCTTCAGTTGTACTACTAAGTTCATACATACAACGACATTTATGACCTTATGAATAATGTTGGTTCAAACCTCTTCCCATTAACCGAGTTGAGACAGGATTCAGGGACTCTCTCAATGAATCCCTTCAAACACTGATCATAGAAAAACATAGACACACATACAAATAACTCTGCTCCCTGGTTTATCACAGTGGTCATGTTATAAGATAATCCACAATAAGATAAATCCTTGAAGCAGCAGCTGTGTAAGGCTGTAAACCCTCACACACACTTTAGACACTTTTCTAATCCCCTGAACTCACAACGACTGAAGTGAGAGAGACCAGAGATATCAAACCTGCTTGTTGTAGGTTGAAGTGCTGCTGCAGCCGTCAAAAGCCGTGCATAGAGAGAAAGAGACCAGAGAGAGATCAGAAGGGGACAGAGAGAGAGAAGAGAGACCAGAGAAAAAGAGAGAGAGAGAGAGAGAAAGAGAGGAAAAACAGCAAGAGAGATCAGAAAGAAAGAGACTAGAGAGAGACCCGAGAGAGACAAGGGAGAGGGACCAGAGAGAAAGAGAGAGAGAGAGCAGAGAGAGATAGACCCGAGAGAGACAAGATAAAAAGACCAGACAGAGACAAGAGAAAGGGACCAGAGAGAAAGGGAGGGAGACCAGAGAGAGAGAGAGAGAGATCGGAGCGAGATCAGAGAGATGGAGAAACTAGAGATAGAGAGAGAGATCAGAGAGAGAGGAAGGATGTTAGCTGGGTCTCTGTGAGCTGCAGACAGTGGGTCTTTGTCGGGGCAGAGCACAGAGCGGTGAAGTCGTAAACGTGTGGAGCAGGAATCTCACACCGGCACACGACCTCGGACAAAACCTGCTTTTTCCATTCATCCATTCGCGAAGTTTCAAACTCCCATCACTGACGAGAGGTTAATGCACAGAGGAAGGAGACACAAGCACTGACAGAAACATACAAACAAAAATAAATATCTGTCATCGCTCTGTCTGTCATAGCCTGCCCACTCCGCTCAATCATCATTTCTCTGGATGTAACGTCTGGGTCTGGTCCCTGTGTTTGCAATTACACCGGTCAAATTCCATCTGACCAATCAGCGAGTGCGGAAGGCTGGTGTTGTAGTTAATTGAGGGTGACGTCAAGAGTTTGCGTCAAACGGGAAGGTTGTAGTTTGGCTAAAAAATGCAATAGTAAGGTATTCCGGTCTGGTTCTATCAAGAAATTGAAGCCGGGGCAAGAGGAATGTTTAGCAAATGTAATCGCTGGCAAAGAATGTGGCGCTACTCCCCACGGGCTCCGTTAGCGGCAAAGGAGATGGCTAGGCTAAATGCTAAATGCTACGACTCACTCGGGCGCAGTACATACGTCACGGTAAACTCAGATCCAATCGTTTCAATCTGCAAAAGGAGTTAACCCCTCCCACCTGTTCACGGAGCTCAATGGAGCACATCCAGACCTTAGTACAAAATGTCATTTGTACTATGGTGTGGTACGACCAGGCTACGTCTGGCAGGGAGAACAAGTATTTTGTATTTTGATTGTGCTCATTCAAAAGAAAACTTTGTCATATCTGACTTTGATCCAACAACCTCAATACCAAACCATGACAGCGCCCCCTGCAGGACACTGTCTGGTCTGAAGAGCAGCTTCAGTGACAGCCTGATTCACCCTGACTGTGTAAAGGAGTGGTTCTGCAGGTCTTTCCTTCTAAAGCCCTAAATCACAACAGTATTCATCCCAGAGGACTTTTCATAGTTGTCAATTCACCAACACAGATCAGAGAATCAAACAGTTCAAACACAGGAAATGCAATGATAAAAAACACATAGAGCCTTTGGTCCATCAGGGGCAGATGACCAATGTCCTGGGATAAAAGTGAGACACTTTCGGGAGGCCCACATTGAGGGAGGGATCTTCTTCATGTCAGGCATCTGTGCAATGTCAGATTGTGCAATATGGAACCACCCAACACGGTGGCTGAGTGGTTAGCACTCTCAGCAAGAAGGTCCCGGGTTTGAATCTCGGTCGGAACAGGGCCTTTCTGAGTGGAGTTTGCATGTTCTCACCGTGTCTGCGTAGGTTCTCGCTGGGTCCTCCGGTTTCCCCTTCCACTAAAAACATGTACAGTAGGTCTGAATGTAATGAGAGAGTGAATGGAGGGTGTTGATTGGGGGCTTCGATGCTCCGGTGTGTTCGGCGTCTCGCTTCTGTCATCACCGTGTGGAGAGAATGGAAAAAATATCTGAATTCTGAACATTGTAAAACGCTTTGGGTGACCTTGGTCTGTAAAATGTGCTATATAGATAAACATTACTTACTTATTTACATGTGTCCACTGTCCCGTTAGTCCCTTTTAGCCCAGAGTCTCAAACTGCTAAGATGTAGATTATTACATAAAGTATTATATTGTTAGAAAGAGTGTAAATCATGGGCACAAACCCTTCAGACCCGCACCCAAAGGTCTGTCTCCATGGAAATGTTCATGTACAGACTGTAGCCTGTGTTGCAGAAAGCAGCGTGATGGCGAAGAGCTCGGACGTGGACGACCTCCTCGTGGCCTTCAGGAGGTTCGCGGCTCACGGAGACCACAAAGCCGCAGCCGCCTCCGAGATGCCGGGACAGAAATGGGCCAAACTCTGCAAAGACTGTAAGATCATCGACGGGAAACACGTCACCAGCACCGACACCGACATCATCTTCTCCAAACTCATGTGAGTCCAGAACATACAACACGGCACTCGCTGTTTCCAAGATTTATGTGCGTAGTTCTACTTTTTAAAATAAGATAAGAAAAGACAAATGTACATGTCACATTTGGCATGGATAGAATCGTTCTGGTTGTGCAAAAAGACAGAAGTGTGAAACATGTTGAAGGTTAAAAAATATAGTCTGTGCAGGAAATAATTATGTACAATAAAAGAGTGGCAATAGCAGTGCTGGTTTTTCAGTCCTATAGTGCAGGTCAGCGACTTAAAGTGACTTATTGTACAGTCTGACAGCGGTGGGGATGAAGGCCCTCCAGTGTGCTTCTTGTGTGCTTCTTGTGTGCATGTTTACTTTTGTATGCGCTGGAAAATGGCAGCAAGACCTAAGCAGCTCTGAAACAGTTGTTTTGTGCTTCACGATTTAGATTTTTTAATTACTTTTTTCTACCTGAGATGTTGCTGCAGTACAGTGTTCATGGTTTTACACTGGTCCAGACCGGAGCAGAGAGGATTCATGGTCCGAACCAAGTGGATCAGGAGACAATCCACTGGAGGAATGCAAACTTTTTGAAAAATGCTAATGAAGCATTTGGCATTTTACTTTAGACCAGAGCAGAGAAAATGGTCCGAACCAAGCGGCTACTCCACCTTTTAAACTGTCATGCTCCACCCAGAGGCTACTCCACCTGTGCTGCTGCGACCTGAAGGGCTGTTGCTGATTATTATTATGGTTAGCTTTTTAGAATGATACATTTTATTTTCATTTTTTTTGCTGCTACTGGACATCTGAATTTCTCTCAGGGGGATCAATAAAGTATCTATCTATCTATCTATCCTCATCATATACAGCCTCAGATAACCGCTGGTGTTGACACAAGTCTCCGTTTGTAAAAGTCTTGATTTTTGGCTTTCAGCCCAAAGACGTCCAGAGGGATGTCGTACGCAGACTTTCGGAAGGCTCTGGAGATGTTGGCTCAGAAGAGGTTTCCAGATCAGAGCAAAGAGGACGCGCTGCAGTCTGTTCACAAACTCATCGAGGGGAAAGGACCCGCCAACGCCGGAGTCACGGTGCGCTGCTGCTCAACCAATCAACACAACACACTGTCCAATGTGCTGAAACATTAGCACGTCTGCCAAATAAAATATAAAAATAAAAATATACATACATACTATATTTATGTAATTTAAAAGGTATTTTCTCGAGAATGTTGTATGAATATTTGTGCAGGCCCTACTTTATAACTTTTCTATTTTTTTAATTTAACAGTTATTCAATTTAATCTAATTTCGATAGTAATAGCAGAATCATACATAATTTTACTTTCACTTCACAGTTGTCTGCCACTTGTGTGTGAACTTCCAGTAAAACATTCAAAAATAAAATCTTTTTGTTCATGATGTAAACCTGAGAAAATGTGCAAAAGTCCAGCTGTGTTAGTACCTTCGAGAGGCACTGTATGTATGACTTGTTTTGTTTTCAGAAAGTGGACAAAACGGGCGCAGTGGACCGCCTGACCGACACGTCCAGATACACCGGCTCTCACAAGGAGCGCTTCGACGTGAGCGGGAGGGGCCGGGGCAGGGGCGGGCGCGAGGACCTGGTTGAGAACACCGGATATGTGAGCTCCTACCGCCACCAAGGCACCTACGAGAGCAAAGTGAAGGGGAAGCCCGGCGGAGCCCCAGACAGCTAACCCAGGAGGCTGTAGGTCCAGGGTCTGAGGCTGTAGATCCAGGGTCTGAGGCTGTAGATCCAGGGTCTGAGGCTGTAGATCCAGGGTCTGAGGCTGTAGATCCAGGGTCTGAGGCTGTAGATCCAGGGTCTGAGGCTGTAGATCCAGGGTCTGAGGCTGTAGATCCGGGGTCTGAGGCTGTAGATCCAGGGTCTGAGGCTGTAGATCCAGGGTCTGAGGCTGTAGATCCAGGACTGAGGCTGTAGATCCAGGACTGAGGCTGTAGATCCAGGACTGAGGCTGTAGATCCAGGACTGAGGCTGTAGATCCAGGACTGAGGCTGTAGATCCAGGACTGAGGCTGTAGATCCAGGACTGAGGCTGACTCTTCTACATACACTGCAAAAAGTGATCAAAAAATAACTCCAATCCGGCTAAATGTATCATAAGTTGAGCACATTTTGACTCACTTAAAATAAGATTTGCCAATGAGACAAAGCAAAAAATAAATGTCTCCGTTGGAATGAGAAAATACAGCAACAATTCTAGAAATAAGACTAAAAGGTTTTGTTCCATTGGAGAATCTTGATTTTTGATTCAAGCAATTATCGTCCCATATTAGATCACGTTTTGCAGTGTAGAACTTTTGTTATTGTTTTCCTGTGTTGTCTATAATATACTTAACCCGTTCAAGTTTGTACTGTCTGTTCATAACAATAACATGTTCATAAATGAGATGAATCATTGGCTAAATGTGAGGCCTTTTCTTTTTTATACTGGAGTTAGACATTGCTCTTGGGCTAGTCTGAAATAAAGTTGAGAAAATATAAGATGTTGTGTTTTATTCCAAGATTTATCCAATGTATGAAAACGACATATGATATTATTATGGACGGATCCAGAATTACTCCACAGCCTTTTGTGTGAATGCGATTTATTTACTGACACAGAGAGAGGTAGTGTGTGTGTTCTCTTTAATCAGTGTTTCCAGATCATTGGTGCCATAAACAAAATAAAATATATAATCTTAGAATCATATGAAGAGCTATTTACAAATTTAACACACAAAATATTTCACTCAAAACTCACAGATCTTCAACGTAGATAGAGCTTTTCAAATCTGTTGTTCTGAGACAAAAACATGAGAAAAAGGAACGAGAAAACGAGGTGCAGAACACTGCAGATGCTGTTTATTATTTTTACACTTTCATGATTTTACATTTTCATGATTTAGAAAAAAAGTTTCTGGATCAAAAACTGTATTCATTACAATAGTGTTTTATTTACAATCAATATGCAGTATTTTACAAATGCCAAAAATGTGATCGGGAAAATGTTTTTTTTTTGGCCATTTCTCTCCTCTCCTCTCTCCTCCAATCTCAGCTCCTCTCTTCTCCTCTCATCTTCTCTCCTCTCCTCTCTTCCTCCCTTTCCTCTCTTCTTCTCTCCTCCCTTCTCCTCTTTCTCCTCCCTTCCTCTCCCCTCTCTCCTCTTGTTCTCTCCGAGCCAAGTTTTTGTCAGTTTTTTCTTTCTATATAGAGACGCCATCTTGAAGAGGGCGGGGCTGCGGCGTCACATGATCACTCAGATATTGTAAATGAGGCCCATGTCGCATCACAGACGTACTCATTAGAAGGACGAGAATCAAACCTATTTTCCAAACCCGGATTTGTTTAAGACTTTTAAAATGTTGTTCTGGACACATCATAGAAATATGGTGAAAAAAATACTTTTGCGATTTTGTTCAAATGTTTTCCAGGCTCCAAAAAGTCCTTTATCTCAGCAGAACGTTGAATTGAAGCTTGTATAATGTTTATATGTGGTTCTTTTTCTATCTATTCATTACGGTTCACATTTACATAAGGATAACTTTTATTAAACAAACATTTGCATATTATTTTCCAAACCAAATTAGTTCAGTTTTGTACAGATTAGACCAAAACGGGACGGAAGGTACATCATTAGGGTTGGTCTGGTTCACTTTAACTACTGGTTCACTTGAAATACTAATTCAAATTGAATAAATGCATGGATACGGTTGTCGTCAAGTTTAAATTAAAAACTTGAAATAAAACATACCATGGAAGCCCACAGTCATCTCTGACCATCGAAGCCTGTTCAGAAAGTTCAGAATCATTTGAGTGGCCTCTTAAAAATGTCCGGGTTTTAAAGTTTTACAAGTCTCTTTCTGTTGGAGCTGAGGAGGAGTCCGCACAATGTCAGGGGGAAGACTTTTCCAAAATATTTCAATGACTATACTGTATATAGGACAAAAAAAAGTGTTAATTCAGCCACAAAATTAATGTCGGTAATTTCCATCATAGATTTAAGCCAACCTTGAGAGAAATCCATAACATCACAATTTTCTGATTATTTGCAGATTATGGTGGAAAATAACAAAAGTCTATCGCTGAGGGCTACAGGAAGGCCGTGTTGCTCCTCTAAACTAATCCCCATGGTGCAGAGTCCAGAGAGAGAGACCAGAGAGAGACCAAAGAGAGACCAAAGAGAGAGACCGAAGAGACCAGAGAGAGACCAGAGAGTGAGACCAGAGAGACCAGAAAAAGAGCAGATTGTGACACTAGAGAGACCAGAGGGAGAGACCCAAGAGAGAGACCAAAGAGACCAACGAGAGACCAGTGAGAAACCAGAGGGAGAGACCTAAGAGAGAGACAAAAGAGAAACCAGAGAGGGACCAGAGAGTGAGACTAGAGAGACCAGAGAGGGATTGTTCTGGGAGACCAAAGAGAGACCAGAGCGAGACCAGAGAAAGACCAGAGAGTGAGATTAGAGAGAGCAGAGGGAGAGACCCAAGAGAGAGACCACAGAGAGACCAGAGAGAGACCAGAGAGAAAGCAGAGAGGGAGCAGATAGTGAGAATAGAGAGAGACCAGAGAGAGAAAGACCAGGGAGACCAAAGAGAGACCAGAGGGAGACCAGACAGTGAGACTAGAGAGAGAGAGAAACCAGAGAGAGAAAGTCTTCTGAAGTAATCACTGTGGTGCAAACAAGCCACAAAAGTGTTCTCCAAACACAAAGGTCATGTTTTACCAGCGGTGAGAAGCACGCCGTAAATAAAACGTCTGATATCCCCTGGCATTGCACCTCAACAACGTATTCAAATTGAGAGAATTTTGTGATTGACTAAATACTTATTTGCCTCATTCTCATAGTTGAGGTTTACTTATGATGGAAGATACCATCTTCTGAAATGGGAGGACTTCCACAATTGGCGGCTCGCTAAATACTTTTTTCAGTCTAGTTGCATTTCATTTTCCAGTTCTTTTGTCTTCACGTCTCCGGCTCCCCGTCAGTCCTGGTGCTGAACGCCGACACCAGATCTTTGACGCTGCTAGCTCCTCGCGGCCGCTGCTCCTCCTCCTCCGGCCTCCTCCTCCTTTGCGGTTTCTCGCACAGACTCTTGGATCTGATCGCCGGGTACGTCCTCACCTCCTCTTCCTCCTCTTCGGCTTCCCTCTCCGCCGTTTGCTCTTCGGCCTCGTCTTGAGTCACACATTTTTCCGGTGTCGAGGCTTGTCCCGTGTGCATCGGATGGACCCTGCTCTCCGACCCCCACTGATGGACCAGTTGCGGCTGTTTCGAGGCCTGCTCCATGGTGTAACCCGTGGCCCATTGGTTGCTCATGGCTCGTCTGCGCGAGATCGGCGAGCTTTGACCCGGTGACGCCAACAACTGCATGACTTTGGTTTTGTCCAGTGGGAAGGACGTGGTGGCTCCCAGTTTGGGTTTCTCTCCAGGGGTTGGAATGATCACAGCTGCAGCAGGGGGACTGGGACTGGCCTGGTCTAGGGTTTGGTCCTGGGTTTGGACTTGGGGTCTGGGGGGCTCTGAGTCGCTGGGGGTGATGAGGATGTCGACGTTGGAGGATACAGAGTGTCTCCTCTCTTGCTGCCCGCTCACCTCCAGGGTGCAGCCGTACTCCTTCATCACTGGCTTTGGATCGACTGGAAGTATGAAGAAATAACAAAATAAATATCATGCAAGACGTGGGGATCTTTATTCGTAGTGGAGCTGTGTGTCATTTTTCTAGTGGATATACATCTCAAATTCAAATGAAGCCATTTTCGGGTCACTTGGCAAAAATCTACTGCAGTTTTCTGATGTTTGTAATATATTTTTGTAGTGTATTTGCAAATTATGGTGGAAAATATTAAAAGTATGAGCGGGCTACGGAAAGACTATGGTAAATCCTTTGAACTAATCACAGAGCTGAAGAGACCAGAGAGAAACCAGAAAGAGAGGCCAGAGAAAGAGGAGGGAGACCAGAGAGAGAGAACAAAGAGAGAACTTAGAAACCAGAGAGAGACTGACCAGAGAGAGACCAGAGAGAGAGACCAGAGAGAGAGACCAGAGAGAGAGACCAGAGAGAGACCAGAGAAAGAGACCAGAGAGAGACCAGAGAAAGAGACCAGAGAGAGACCAGAGAAAGAGACCAGAGAGAGACCAGAGAGAGACCAGAGAAAGAGACCAGAGAGAGACCAGAGAAAGAGACCAGAGAGAGACCAGAGAGAGAGACCAGAGAAAGAGAAAGAGACCAGAGAGAGACCAGAGAGAGACCAGAGAGTGACCAGAGAAAGAGACCAGAGAGAGACCAGAGAAAGAGACCAGAGAGAGACCAGAGAGAGACCAGAGAAAGAGACCAGAGAGAGACCAGAGAGTGACCAGAGGGACCAAAGAGAGAGACCAGAGAGTGACCAGAGGGACCAAAGAGAGAGACCAGAGAGAGACAAGATAGAGAACAGAGAGACAGTTAAAGCCTGGTCATGGTTCAGCTATATAATATCATATAATAATAATTTTGTTGTTGTTCAAGTTATAATCACTATTTTTTAGCACTTAATAAAAGTGAGTAAAGATAAAAAAAAGGAACATCTAAAATAATTGCTTTGATTAAAACTAGTTGAAAACGATTTTTTTCAGAACTCAATTGATTTGAAAAGGAGCCGTTCATATTACTGTTTTAGGAGTTCAGGTAGTCTCGGCATCCCGGGAGATACTTGTGTTATAGTGTGTAAAGAGCAGCTCCCCTAACCTTCCGTCTGGGGCCTTGTCTCTGGACTGACTTGGCCCCGGCGCTCCTCGGGCTCCGGAGCCTGGCCCTGGCCCTGGCTCTTCTCCTCGGTCTCCATCTGGTATCTGTACAGACTGTAGGCGTCCATGCTGCCGATGCTGCCGTGCCTCAGTAGGACCCCGGGCTCGCAGATGGAGGAGTCCCGGGACCGTGTGCGCACCAGCTGAGAGCGGTCCACTCCGGCTAGCTTCTCCAGCGCGTTCATCATGCGGCCAGAGAACTCCTCCAGCTGACCCAGGCGCAGGTCCACGGTCTGCAGCGAGGCCTTCATGGAGTGCTCCCTCTCGTTCACCTCCTCCAGACGCATAAACATGTTCTCCACTCTGAGACGACCACACACACGGAAAACACATTGCATTCGAGGACATGGAGAAGATTTGATGTTTCCCTAGTTTCTGGTCTTTCTCTGGTATCTCCTTCATCTCTCTCTGGTCTCTCTCTCTGCTCCCTCTAAGCTCGCTCTATTGCCTCTCTCTGGTGTCTCTCTCAGATTCTCTCCTCTGGTTAATCTCTGCTCTCCCTCTGATCTTTCTCTCCGGTCTCTCTCTGGTCTCTCTCTGATCTCTTCCTGGGCTCTTTCTGGTCTCTCTCTCTGATCCCTGTTTGATCTTTCTCTCTCCGGTCTTTCTCAGGTCTCGCTCAGGCCTCTCTCCGCTCCCTCTGTGATCTCGCTCTCTAGCCTCTCTCTGGTCTCTCTCTCTCTAATCCCTCTCTGATATTTCTCTCCAGTGTCTCTGTTCACTTCCTAGCCTCTCCCTTTCTCTCTATGGTCTCTCTCTCTCTGGTCTCTCTCTCTGACATCTCTCTGGTCTCTCTCTCTCTCTGATCTCTCTCTCTGATCTTTCTCTCTGGTCCCTCTCTCTTTCTCTGGTCTCTCTCTCTGGTCTCTTTCTGGTCTCTCTCTCTCGGGTCAATCTCTCTCAGGTCTCTCTCTCTGGTCTCTCTCTGGTCTTTCTCTCTGCTCTCACTCTGGTCTCTGCTCTCACTCTGGTCTCTCTCTGGTCTCTCTCTCTCTGGTCTCTCTCTGGTCTCTCTCTGGTCTCTCTCTCTCTGGTCTCTCTCTGGTCGCTCTCTCTGGTCTTTCTCTCTGGCCTCACTCTGGTCTCTCTCTTGTCTCCCTCTTGTCTCTCACCCAAAAACACTTGCTTTGTATGAATGATACACTAGATTGAATAGATTCATATTTAATAATAATTAAACGTGGCGTCTTTCACTTTGATTTGCTCAGATTGTGTGTCTCTCGGTGCCGTACCTCTCAGACGTGACCCGGATGCGCTCATTGTTGGACGACTGCTTCTCGTCCTCCTTCTCCCTGAAATACTCCTCCACACACTGCTCCTCGAACTCATACAGATTCTTCAGCTCCTCTGGGCTCAGCACCAGCTCTGCACCAGGAATAAAGACAGAGGGATATTTAACAAGGTTTGTTCGTGTGAAAAAAGAGCCAACTGATCTATGATATATTCAAAATGCTGCAGCTCTAGACTTGACGGGAACCAGGAAGTACCATTACATTAGTCCTGGTCTCAGGTCTCTGCACTGGCTTCTGTGGCTCAGAGAATAGACTTTAAATCAGATCTGCTTGTTACAAGTCTCTCCATGACCTCGCACCAAAGTACATCTGAGACATAGTGCCATATGAACCAAGGAGGACTTTGAGGAGCAAAGGGACTGGTCTCCTGCTGGGACTCAGAGGAGCACAGGGACAGGCCTCCGGCTGGTGCCCAGGGTCAGGACTAAACATGGGAGAGGCACCTTTCAGGCCAAAATCATGACTTGTAGAACGGGCTATGTCCCTGGTAATGTTTAAGTCCAGGTTCAAAACTGTATCTTCACACAATCACCTCTCCCTCTCCTTGTATGTGTGTGCCTGTCTCTCTCTCTCTGTGTGTGTGTGTGTGGATGTGTGAATGTTGGTGTGTGTGTGTATGCATGTGTCTCTATGTGTGTGTGGCTGTCTCTGTGTTCCTGTGTGTGTGTATGCATGTGTGTATTTGTGTGTGGCTGTCTCTGTGTGTGTGTGAATGCATGTGTCTCTATGTTTGTGTGTGTGTGCGTGTGTGTGTTGTGTGCATGCGTCTCTGTCTGTGTCTATCTCTCTCTGTTTTCCTGTGTGTGTGTGTGTGTGTGTGTATATGCACGCGCTCTATGTGTGTGTACGTGTGTTCCTGTGTGTGTATGCATATGTCTCTATGTGTATTCAGTATGTGTATGTGTGTATCCTCACGCAGTCCCCTCTCCCTCTCATCGTGCTCCCCCTCAGCTCTCTTGGGCAGACAGCGGGAGCAGATCCTCCTCAGCACCAGGTAGATGTGTGGGATGACGATGAGCGGCGGCGGCAGGATCGGCCGGTCGTGGAACGTCATGATCAGCTGGTACCGCTGGAACTTCCACACCTGGTTCGAGATGGACTTCACCTCGAAGAACGTGTTACTGAGAATCACAGGGTTCAGATCAGAGTGTTATGAGGACCCCTGCTGGAGACGTTTGGTAACAGCACTGTCCTCTCCTCTCTTATCATTCTAACTTCAGCTGTGGTCTCTCCATTGTCTGTTTCATGGCGAGATGATGGGAATCGGGCCTCTTTCATCTGCACCGATAGACCGGTCTCCCCCGAACTTGTGGGCTGCACCCTCCACCCTGCTTGGGAGCCTCTTCAGTCCTGGATCTACAGTGTCGGTCCTGGATCTACAGCCTCAGTCCTGGATCAACAGCCTCAGTCCTGGATCTACAGCCTCAGTCCTGGATCTACAGCCTCAGTCCTGGATCTACAGCCTCAGTCCTGGATCTACAACCTCAGTCCTGGATCTAAAGTCTCAGTCCTGGATCTACAGCCTCAGTCCTGGATCTACAGCCTCAGTCCTGGATCTACAGCCTCAGTCCTGGATCTACAGCCTCAGTCCTGGATCTACAGCCTCAGTCCTGGATCATGAGCCGGGACATTTAGAACAATACACAAACACATTGAATTAAATTGAAATGGAATTGAATAGTTTTGCCCCTCTGGCTCAAAGAAGACTAGACCAAAGACCTCGATCAGATAATTTTTTGGTAAATCCACGGCCTCAGCTGAAGGTCCTGGTTCCTGATCTTAGACCTTGTCACAGTTGTGTTTCTCTCACTTGAAGACCGCGATGAGCAGGTTGACCAGCAGGATGTTGGCCACCAGCAGGTAACAGGCCATGATGGCGGGAGTGAGCCAGGCCCCGGGGATACAGGGGGGGAGCTTCTTTCCATCCTCGTCGTACATGTTGTCCCCACATGGAGCTGGAGACAAGAACAAGAGAGACGTGAGAGGGGGAGAGGAGGAGACATGAACAAGTGAGAGGTGAGAGGTGGAGAGATGGAAAAATGGACAAGAGAGAGGTGAGAGAGGAGGATAGATTGAGACATGGACAAGAGAGAGGTGAGAGAGGAGGAGAGATGGAGACAATGTCCAGAAAGAGGGGAGGAGGGGAGAGAGATGGAGGCAAGAACATGAAGAGAGAGGTCATAGAGGGAGAGAGAATGAAGACATGGACAAGAGAGGTGAGAGGGGGAGAGAGATGGAGAAATGGGCAAGTGAGAGGGGGAGAGAGATGGAGACATGAACAAATGAGAGGGAGAGAGGAGGAGAGAGATGGAGAAATTAACAAGAGAGGGGGAGAGAGATGGAGACATGGACAAAAGAGGGGGAGAGAGGAGGAGAGAGATGGAGAAATTAACAAGAGAGAGGTGAGAGGGGGAGAGAGATGGAGAAATTGACAAGTGAGAGGGGGAGAGAGATGGAGACATGGACAAAAGAGGGGGAGCGAGGAGGAGAGAGATGGAGAAATGAACAAGTGAGAGGTGAGAGGGGGAGAGAGATGGAGACATGAAAAAAAGAGGGGGAGAGAGGAGGAGAGAGATGGAGAAATTAACAAGAGAGAGGTGAGAGAGGGAGAGAGATGCATGACATGGACAAGAGAGAGGTGAGAGAGGGAGAGAGATGGAGACATGGACAAGAGAGAGGTGAGAGGGGGAGAGAGATGGAGACATGGACAAGAGAGAGGTGAGAGGGGGAGAGAGATGGAGACATGGACAAGAGAGAGGTGAGAGAGGGAGAGAGATGGAGACATGGACAAGAGAGAGGTGAGAAGGGGGGAGAGAGCTGGAGGTTCATCATGAAGTGGGTTTTTGACCTAAAATTATCAAAATATGAAAATGTAAATAAAAATGTACTTACGGTTTATTTCCATGGCGTACACTGTTCAGAACCAGGAAGAAGCAGAAACATTAAGGAATAAAAGTTACATGAAATGATCTTTATTTTCATTATATTCTACTTTTACTATAAGTTTAAGACAGTTTTAAGATGTACGAGGACCAGCTATGTTTTAAAAATAATTAAAATAATAGATTACACAAATGTGCTCATAATTATATATTTTACAGTTGGATTACAAAGGTTTTATCAATTAATTAAAGTTAGTGATCGAGATCATTTTAAACACACACACACACAGTGCATGCATCCCCTGCTGTTTTAAACACATCACACTCTTTATGTTTTCATTTAAATCAGTTTTAAGTTTATTATTGTTTATATGAATTAGATTGATGTAATTCGCATGTTCCGCCAGCAGGGGGTGCAGACGCAGCACTCACGTTTCACCACGAGGCAAATACAGCGACAACGAAGACATCTGTGCATTTTCAGCTGAGAACAGGTTTAAACAGGTTTATGTTGTTGTTGTTATAGTAAAGTTTGTTTATTACACATGGTCTCCACTTTTAGTTTTTCTTATGGACAACTTTATAAATTATTTTATGGTTCTTTAGTTTTTCATAGTTTACAAAATGTGTTTATTACAATTCCCTCCACTGATATTTACATCTTTGATAATAACTGAGGAGAAAATATTCTGCATAAAAATACTGTTTGGGGCTTTTAACCACAACAAATGGGAAGGAACGCTGCTCAAGTCAGAAATTCAACTCTGGGCATCAGCCCTGTAACTATGACATCACTATGACATCACACTCAAAGCAACTTTCGGCCTTTAACACCAGTGCTCAATTTGACTCCTTACAGTTTTAGAACTTTGAACTTTGTGAAATTTTCTGTTTCTATAAGTTGTGTCCTCGCTCTACAGACGCTGCGTGGCCTTGGTCCTCGTTCTGTAGCTTAGGTCCTGGATCTACAGCCCGTCCGTCCGTGTGGAGCGGATCTCTCTCTCATGTGGTTCTCCCCGAGGTTTCTCACTTTTCTCCCACTGGGATATAGAGTATTTCCTTGCCGATGCAGGAGGGTCTGTTGGACAGTTAGTGTCCAACTAGAAGGACTGTGGTGATGATCCAGGACACTTTGACATTCTGCAACATGTATGGACATTTATCAACATGTGTTCTATATTATTTGTGTCTTAACTGTTGATTCTCTGATCTGTGCTGGTGATTTCACAATCTCAGAGGACACACACAGTCCTCTGAGATGACTTCTGTTGTGATTGAGGAATTTACAAGAATACATTGTATTGAATTGTTTTGTAAAGACAAATGAGTAAAACGTTCTGTCTCGAGATTTGTCCTTCCCACACTTTGATGTCGTCTTTTAGGAAAGAATATAGTATAAAATTGAGATGTTTGTGGTTGAAAGCCGGACAAAGGTTGTATTAGAACCCTAACCGCTATAAAAACAGGTTTCAGAAGTAAAAAATCTTGTGTCCAATTGTCAATTGAAAGCGTACTTTTAACAAATCTAGTGAAAATCTGTTTTTTATGGATATTTCAGAATTCCATTGATTCAAAAAGCAGCTGGGAGTTCTAGTAGAAAAATCACTTTTTCTAATTTCTCAAGCTAACGGACGTTTTTGCAGTTAAATTTATTATGTTCAGGTTTGGGGAAAAAAAATCCTTCTGGTTTCACAGGGAAAGGGCAGACATATGAGTGTGACACAAACGTTTACTGAGCTAAAGGAGGTGACTTTGGAATTTGAGTCAATAGGAGCCAGAGCGAGTTGGAGCCAAACCTCATCCATGAGCTCTTCCCTAATATGAGCTAGCGGGTTAGCAATGTCCATCTATACACAGTCTATGTTGATGTCATAGTAAGTAAGTCAAAACATTTTTTATTTTTTTGTGGTACAATGACATCATACTATTACAGGACTGAGACAGGGGCTTTTAGACAGAAGGGGCGGAGCTTCATATTTGTGCCACACGTTCCTAATTTTATGGATTATTATATTATGGATTGATCTAAAAACAACTCTAGGTCAGTTTTTGATCAGGGGACAATGTTGTAACGTGGTTAAAAGCTCAAAAATGTTTGTATAGTACATCTCCTTTAAAGTCATTACCATAGATGACAATATAAATAGTGGAGGGAGCTGAATTTACGTTTTTTTTGGTCGTGTTGTCATAGTAACGCACAGATGCCGCGGACGAGTAGCTCTGACTGACTGGAGAATCTTACTATGAACGCTAGTCTTACGGTCAATGGAGTCGGCAAAGACCTCGCCGTAGATCATCCAGTACGGCATGTAGAAGATGTTCCGGGCCAGTCGCCACGTGGGCTCCTCGTCCGGGTGGAGGATGGCCTGCCTCGCCACGCCGAAGCTCATCAGCACCACCAGCATGATGACCACGAAGTACAGCATGTCGATCATCTGCGGACCACAACAGAGAGTGTAAGTGACGGAGGTTTGATGGAGGTATTCAACGATGTTTCAAACTGGAGAGACTCGAGCAGACATTAGTTTGACACTACATGAATGAGCATATAGCACTCTGAAGAAATGTTTTAAGACCAGAGAGAGAGACTAGAGAGAGACCAGAGAGAGAAACCAGAGAGAGAGACCAGAGAGAGAGACCAGAGAGAGAGACCAGAGAGAGAGACCAGAGAGAGAGACCAGAGAGGGACCAGACAGGGACCAGACTGGGATCAGACGGGGACCAAACAGAGACCAGACTGGGACCAGACAGGGACCAAACAGAGACCAGACAGGGACCAAACAGAGACCAGACAGGGACCAGACAGAGACCAGGCAGAACCAGACAGAGACCAGACAGAGACCAGACAAAGGCCAGAGAGAGACCAGAGGACAAACAGAGACCAGAGAGAGAAACCAGAGACAAGACAGGGACCAGACAGAGACCATACAGGGACCAGACTGGGACCAGACGGGGACCAGACAGGGACCAAACAGAGACCAGACAGATACCCGACAAGAGACCAGACAGAGGCCAAGTAGAGACCAGAGGCCAGACTGAGACCAAAGAGAGAAACCAGAGAGAAGACAGAGACTAGACAGAGAGTGAGACCAACATGCGGTAGTTTGAGCCCCTACCATTTTCCCGATCATCATGACGTAGGGGCCCAGGTACTTGTTGACTCCAAAGATGTCGAGGACCCGGATGTACCAGAAGATGATGTCCACGCAGTAGATGACGCGGCCGTAGCCCAGGTAGGGCTCGGCCTGCAGCCTCAGCAGGAGCCCAAAGAGGAACGTAGAGATGGCGGCAAGGTCGGTGATGTTCCAGTAGTCCTCCAACCAAACATTTATCTTTTGCTTCAGCTTCCCAGGCTCAGACATCAGAATCTGAGGAGAAGGCTTTTTTTTTACCCTTCATATCCTTACGACCCATTACCATTCATGGACATTGGTCATCCACTGCTTATGGACCAATGGCTCTATGTGTTTGATTCTCTGATCTGTGATGGCAAATTCATTGGTTTTGTAAAGTTGAATTCACAAACCCAAGATAATAACTGTTGTGATTTTGGGCTATACAAAAATAAAATGATACCTGTTACTCTATTTATTTTCTACTGAATATATGATTTCACATCCTAAAACCTGAAAAGACAAGGTAAATAGAGCACTAATTATTGTTAGTTGTCAAAAATAATGTGTAATATTTCCTCTTTTCTGAGGAGGTACAGAAACCGATATAGACAGGTCTTAAAGCCATAGAGCATATCCTAGGAGTGTGACATCACCATAGTGTTAACCTTAATGCGGAAGAAGCTGATAATTCCTTCTGCTGCTTTAAAGAAGCTATACCCGATTTTTTTTTCTAAGTAGTTGATACAAATGCTTATTACAACATACAAGTTGTATTATAATCCGTAATTTAATTGAAAACGTGAGGTCATTGATTCAGCTGTGTAAGAATTACAAGCAGTGAAAAGTGCTGAGTAGAGTCTTAGCGGGACCTCGTTCTCCTCCCCTCACAGAACGAGCAGCGAGCAGCCTGCGTCCTCTAGCCTCTACAGCGCTGCTTAACACCAGGGCTTCGACTTCAAAATTCGAATATAATTCTAAAATAAATAAAATATATGTATATATTGTTGTCTAATATACACATATTAGACAACCCTTATAATTCGAAACGTATTTAATAACTGCAAATAAAATAGTTAGCTCCCAAAGGTTTCACCGGGACGTGCGTTACTTCCGGGTTTTTTGCGATCACTTTTTGTCACATTAAAATAGTAATTTGGTCATGAAAACGATAACAAGAAATTCTGAAATTGTCCGTGCATTAATGATGTATATATATATATATACTGTATTGTCCGATACGTTTAATGGTGTTGATTGATAGACATGTAGTTGGTTATTGAGCGTGGCTAGCTCCGCTAGCTTCTCTCGTTGTACTTGTGGAGTAATGGCAGTATTTTACACACCTGAATTACAGACAGAGATTGCATTGTCAAAGGGCAGCGGTCATTATTGGTTTGAGAGAAAAAATGATCGGTAGAATTACATTCAAGTCACTGGAGTGTTCTGCTGCTGTGAGGAGCTGTATAATAAATTATAATTAAAAACTCAAATATATTCTAATGTTATGAATACATTCGGATGCAAAACTAGCGGTATTCTTTTACCCATATATTGTGTCAGCAGTGAGTTGCTTTAGTACCATTTCATCAGTGATTGTTGCACAGCTTACAAGAAGTTGTGCTAATGCTAATGTTAGCATACATGTCAGATTGCAAATTGAGCTAGATGGCTCTGTGTTATGAGAGCGCAGGGGAAATGAGAAGCCTGTGAGCGAGTTGGCGGGCGGTGCTAAACATTCAAACATTGCAGAAACGGGTATAGCGCCTTTAACTTTGTGCCGTAATAGGGCCGGACATGTTGCTAGGAGGGGTGCTAAGCCGAGCTAGAGTTTCCGCACAAATGAAGGCATCTGGTAAATCCTTAAATGTCTATGTTTACAACGACAATATCACAATATAAACACCAGAATCAAAGAGAGCGCTAACCTACAGATTTTTCAAGCCCAAAATGGTGAGTGTGACACAAACAGTTACTGAGCTAGAGGAGTTTACTTTTACATGTAAGTCAATGGGAGACAAAGTGAGTCTGAGCAAAACTTCATCAATGAGCGCTTCCCTATCAGCTCCCTGTGCTCCTCAGAGTCCCAGCAGGAGGCCCGTCCCTGTGCTCCTCAGAGTCCCAGCAGGAGGCCAGTCCCTGTGCTCCTCAGAGTCCCAGCAGGAGGCCAGTCCCTGTGCTCCTCAGAGTCCCAGCAGGAGGCCAGTCCCTGTGCTCCTCAGTGTCCCAGCAGGAGGCCCGTCCCTGTGCTGCTCAGAGTCCGAGTTGGTTCATATAGCACTAACATGTTACAGATGTACTTTGGTGCGAGGCCATGGAGAAACTTTTACACGAACAGAACTACTTTAAAGTCTATCCTCTGAGACTTTAAAGCAGAGTACAGACATGTGACAAAACACGTGAATGATGTTTTATCTTGAAAGGCTTTTCTAAAATCTCAACATGTGTCTTTCATCACAAAGCAGTAAATCAGCAGCCTACGTTTGTGTGTTTAGAAGGATCACCTGATGATGCTGATGGGAGCCTTATGATGCTGCTGGGACAAAGGCTTCTTTCAACATCCAGCCCTTGGTCTTCGGTCTAATCTGTTCAACTGCATCTGTTCTGACTTGACTGTCCGCTTTGTTTGGCTTCTTCGAAAAGACTAACTCAATTTATGTGTGTATTATTTATAAACCATTTGTGTTTCCATGCACACATAATGTGGATGGATGTGTTTGAACCACAGCAGGTTTTATATACTGCTGCTGTGACCTGTGTCGACCTGGAACAACAGTGGGAAAGGTAGGCGAGTTGTTTGAACCCGTGTCAGCTTCCCCCCCACAGGGAAGACAGCAACGTGTCAAAATGCGGGAGCCAAAGTAATCTCATGGCTTTTAAATAAATAAGTATTCTAAAGCCAGGACCGGCGAGAGACTAGAGAGAAAGAGACCCAAGATAGACCAGAGAGAGATTTTGAGAGAGAACAGAGGGAGAGACCAGAGAGAGGGAGCAGAGAGAGACCCTGTTTGTGGATCATTAGCCCATGGATCCCACTGATGACAGCTGTCCCGGCTCAGATGGTTTGGTGAATCTGATCCAGAAGACATGGAGGTAGTAAGTATGCAGTAATCTTTGTTTACATACAGTAGCTCATTTCACAGACAAAGGTCACCCAAACACTTTGTAATGTTTTTGGAGTTAGGACAAGACACGTGGCTGTGATCTTTACCTGTCGGACTTTCTCCAGTCCCAGCGTGATGATGTACGAGATGACAATCCACTCCTGCAGCGACGGCCATCGCTCCATCTTCACCAGGATGATGTAGTTGTACAGCATCAGATAAACCAGGTACGAGATCTGACACAAGCACAACACAGAGAGCAGTCAGAGAGACTGTGGCCTAGAGAAGGTTAAAGGAGACATACTAACCATGTTGAAATATATTAAAGCCATGTATCTGTCGCTATAATAAGACACATTCAATACAGACCAAACGTTTGGAAACACTTTCTCATTCAATGAGTGCTCTTTCTTTTCATGACTATTGACTGTAGATTCACACCAGGCTGTGTAAGGGCTGTTTGACCAATAAGGAGAGTGGTGGGTGCTGGGCCAGATGACCTGGCCTCCACAGTCCGGACCTGAACCCAATCCAGATGGTTTTGGGGCTGGACCACAGAGTGAAGGCGAAAGGGCCAACAAGTGCTGAGCATCTCTGGGAACTCAGACCATTTCAGGTCACTACCTCCTGAAGCTCATCCAGACAATGCCAAGAATGTGTGAAGCAGGAATCAGAGCAAAAGGTCCTACTTTGAAGAACCGAGAATAAAAGACATATTTTCAGTTGTTTCATACTTTTGTTTTAGTATGTACATAATTCCACATGAGTTCATTCATAGTTTTGATGCCTTCAGTGTGAATCTACAATTTTCATAATCATGAAAATAAAAAACTCATTGAATGAGAAGGTGTGTCCAAACTTTTGCTCTGTACTGTATATAGGGCAGAGAGACTGAGCATACTGTATGTCATTTCCATCATCACCAAAACCTTGTGGTCATTGAAACTGAGAAATTATTAGGAAAGATTTTGGCGAAAAGAAAAAAAAGTGTTTGTCACAAAAACATGGTAAACATTATTCAGAAAATCCTTCTCTGGAGGTAAATGTCCCCTAGGATCACGTTTGTTATTATTTGAGGACAATTGTAACATGAGGGTTGAATGTTGTGGTATTCCCCATGACAGATTTTAATTCATTGTAAAGCCATTTTGCACCCAATATTGAGGTATGTTTATATACATTCTTTTCTTGAATTCCCACAGACGTGTTTAAAGCACATTTACTCACAGTATTGAACCAGAACTTGGTGAACGGAGCGTTGTAAAACTCATAAATCTTCTTCCCGATCGGGACTCTCTTCTTGCTGGTCGTTGTGTTCTCCTCTTCGTCACCTTTCTTAGAGGTGGTGTCTAAATTTGACACTGCATCCTGACAGTTCAAAACATCATTTGTGTTATAAAATGTATGCATTTACCACAGTTAAGTCTGCTGCACAATAAACATGTGTCAAACCGGTCCTCAGGTTTTCATTCTGACCAAGCAGGAGCACACCAGACTCACACATATCCTCATTTGAGTCCAGTCTGAACCTGGAGACTTGACAAAATGGGTGGAGTCTGGTCTCTCTCTAGTCCCTCTCTGGTCTTTCTCTATCTGGTCTCTCTCTCTCTGTGGAGACTGAGAGAGAGAGACCAACAAACCTCCTGCTTTGTTGGTATGAAAACCAGCAGCCACACCGGCCCCTGGTTTAGGACGACAGATGGACTGATACCTTGTTGGACTTGTCTTCGCCTTTGCCCTCGTCGCTCTGATAAGTCGTGGACTCGTCTCCCAGTCGGAAGTCCATGAGCAAAATGAACGGAGGGAAAATGATGCCCAGAATCACCTGAAAGACAATGGTGCATTGTTTTAATTTTTTTAAATGGTCACAAAAGACCACAATTTAATTTATTTATTTACATCTGGAAACTAACGCAGTTGTTATGAAACATAAAAAGACATATCTATAACACAATCAAATTAAATTTAGCCTGAAAGGGAGTTGGAAGAAGTGAACTTTTTACACCCCATTTTCCATCTAAACCTTTGCTTCTCTGCTACTGCAAACTTAAAAATCAATGAAAATAAATATCTAGAGCTCACTCCATACACAGTGATGATAAACTACAACTGTAGCCACAGCTGCCCTGGGGCACACTCATGGAAGAGAGGTAACCAGTTTGAGCCATCTGCCATCACCACCATCATTCACTTTCCCCTCTTGTCAGATTTCTGCTGCACGACAAACACTATCAGGTGGAATTGATGAGTTATATGTTATTGTCCCCATGGGGAAATGTGTCCTCTGCATTTGACCCATCCTGGAGGCCACCGGGACTTCGGTCAGCAGCAGTGGTCGCCGTAGTAACAGCAGATAAACTCAATAAACTCTAAAAAATGTCAATGTATTTGTGATGAATTGTGGGTCAAGCCATTCTGTTTATGAAATCAATTCAAATCTGATTTTTCATTTAAATAACACCACAATTTTAGGGGTTGAATAAACTCAAAATAGAGAGAGACACACACAGGTCAATGCACACAGACACACAAACACACAGCTCAACACACATACACACACACACAGACACACACACAAAGGCCCAAACACTCTCTGACCCTACATCTCTCCTCCACCGCTCCCCCTGTGATGAAAGTATCTCTCTCTGTTCTCCTTCTGCCTTCCCTTCTGTAAACGTGCCACACAAATAAATGGTGTGTCCTCTTACGTTGAGGCTGTTGCTCTTGCCCATGCGCAGGCAGCCCATCCACATGTCGGTGAGGAGCATCTGGCTGCACGTGTGGGCGATGAAGTCTCGGTGTTTGGCGGCCACGGCCAGCTTCAGACACGTGGAGTTGCTCCAGTTTTTGAGGCGATAAGTCAGAAGCTTCATGGCGATCTGCTCGTCATGTTTGTACGACTGGTCCAGGAGCTCGTAGGCCAGCTGTCCGAACTCTCTGACCGGGGAACAAAAACACAGATGAAGAATGTGTGCGTCTGTGTGTTAGCCTGTCTTACACCAAATATACAGTAAAGTATTCGGCCCCCTTGAACCTTTCAACATTTCGCCACATTTCAGGCTTCAAACATAAAGATATAAAAAAATATTTTTTGTCATGAATCAACAACAAGTGGGAGACAATCGTGAAGTGGAACAAAATGTATTGGATAATTTAAACTTTTTTAACAAATAAAAAACTGAAAAGTGGGGCGTGCAATATTATTTGGCCCCTTTACTTTCAGTGCAGCAAACTCACTCCAGAAGTTCAGTGAGGATCTTTGAATGATCCAATGTTGTCCTAAATGACTGATGATGATAAATAGAATGCACCTGTGTGTAATCAAGTCTCCGTATAAATGCACCTGCTCTTTGATAGTCTCAGGGTTCTGTTTAAAGCGCAGAGAGAACCATGAAGACAAAGGAACACACCAGGCAGGTCCGAGATACTGTTGTGGAGAAGTTTAAAGCCGGATTTGGATACAAAAAGATTTCCCAAGCTTTAAACATCTCAAGGAGCACTGTGCAAGCAATTATATTGAAATGGAAGGAGTATCAGACCACTGCAAATCTACCAAGACCCGGCCGTCCCTCCAAACTGTCATCTCAAACAAGGAGAAGACTGATCAGAGATGCAGTCAAGAGGCCCATGATCACTCTGGATGAACTGCAGATAACTACAGCTGAGGTGGGAGAGTCTGTCCATAGGACAACAATCAGTCGTGCACTGCACAAATCTGGCCTTTATGGAAGAGTGGCAAGAAGAAAGCCATTTCTCAAAGATATCCATAAAAAGTCTGGTTTAAAGTTTGCCACAAGCCACCTGGGAGACACACCAAACATGTGGAAGAAGGTGCTCTGGTCAGATGAAACCAAAATCAAACTTTTTGGCCACAATGCAAAACGATATGTTTGGCGTAAAAGCAACACAGCTCATCACCCTGAACACACCATCCCCACTGTCAAACATGGTGGTGGCAGCATCATGCTTTGGGCCTGCTTTTCTTCAGCAGGGACAGGGAAGATGGCTCAAATTGATGGGTAGATGGATGGAGCCAAATACAGGACCATTCTGGAAGAAAACCTGTTGGAGTCTGCAAAAGACCTGAGACTGGGACGGAGATTTATCCTCCAACAGGACAATAATCCAAAACATAAAGCCAAATCTACAATGGAATGGTTCACAAATAGACGTATCCAGGTGTTAGAATGGCCAAGTCAAAGTCCAGACCTGAATCCAATCGAGAATCTGTGGAAAGAGCTGAAGACTGCTGTTCACAAACGCTCTCCATCCAACCTCACTGAGCTCGAGCTGTTTTGCAAGGAAGAATGGGCCAGAATTCCAGTCTCTCGATGTGCAAAACTGATAGAGACATACCCCAAGCGACTTGCAGCTGTAATTGCAGCAAAAGGTGGTGCTACAAAGTATTAGCGCAAGGGGGCCGAATAATATTGCACGCCCCACTTTTCAGTTTTTTATTTGTTAAAAAAGTTTAAATTATCCAATAAATTTCGTTCCACTTCACGATTGTGTCCCACTTGTTGTTGATTCTTGACAAATAAATGTATTTTTATATCTTTATGTTTGAAGCTGTATTTTATTGTACACGGTTCTACGGCCTATTTTTTTTTATGTTTTTGCTCCAAACTGGCTGTGTTCAATGTTCATGGTGCCCATAGACTGTAAATAAGACATAGTGACGCCTAATTCCTTCATCGTCACAGACATGGGCAGATTCAAAATGGCCGCCGGCAGCCCCTCCCACAGGAAAATTTGAAAAAACGCATTTGAACACGCATTAGCCGGCATGAGTTAATTTAAAAGTCCATAGCGGCTAAGCTAGACTGGTCCAAAAAATATATATACTCCCCTCAGCATCTAGAACTTAGCGTTTTCAAGAGGAAAGAAGGTGTTGTGTGGATAATTCTGTTTCTGGGTACGTCACCGCCGGCACAGTCAGATTACAAGCATCAGTGCACATGGACCCGCTCATGGACCCGCCCCCACTGTTTGTAACAATGGGAAGATTCTTTGTGTGAACGTGTGTTTATGTGTGTGTATGTGTGCGCGCATGTGTGTGTATTTAATAATATGTGTGGTTTGGGTTGGGTCTGTAGAGTAGACGGGTTCACTGGCATCTGGGATAAACTGTAAAGCATTTTGTGTTATGTTTTTTTGTGTGTGAAAAATTTGATGATTGATATAAATTATTTAAATGACTTGTACAATTAGAATTGTTCAATTCAACTTACAATGTGAAACTAGTAAGTGACAGACAAGTGAGATATATCAAGCCTGTATGTTTATTATACTGTTGATAACTGGCTCAAAAGCATAGAGCGGACTGACCAAGTGTGACATCACCATAGAAGAAGAATCGCAGTAGAATCTGATTCCAACACATGCTAGCTGGAGGCAATTTCCTTATATAAGCATTTGTTCCGACTGGATTTGCTTTGCGCTCTAAAAGGGGCAGACGTTGCTAAGGCAAGCTGGGGTTTCCCGCAAATTCTGAGCATCTGATTGGTCAATCAAATTAATATTGCATTTCCTGAGTTTGAATCATTTGATTCTCTGATCTGTGTGTGATTTAGGGCTATACAAAAATACATTGAATTGAATACTTCTGGATTTACAAAGACAATATCGCAAAACCATGGATTTTTAGGCCCAAAACAGACTGACACAAACGGTTACTGAGCAAGAGGAGTTTACTTTTTAATGTAAGTTCAATGGAGCCAGTGCAAATCAGAGCAAAGATTAGCTTAGGTCCTGGATCTATAGCCCGTCCGTCCGTGTAGGAGCGGATCCCTTTCTCAATATGTGGGTCTCCCCGAGGTTTCTCACTTTTTTTCCCACTGGGTTTTTCTAAGTTTTTCCTTGCCGATGCAGGAGGCTGTCTGTTGGGCAGTTAGTGTCCAACTAGAAGGACTGTGGTAATGATCCAGAACACTTTAACATTCTGCAACATGTATGGACATTTATCAACATTCATGGACATCGGTCTCTCCCTATGGACCAATTCATATATATATTTTATGTCTCAACCAGTGGGGGCGGGTCCTGGCTCAAAAGTGGCACATGCTTGCAATACCACCCTGGGCCGATGGGGGTGGACCCAGAAGAAGAATTAGCCAATGCTAACATATAGCGTTGGCAGACCTCTCGAAAACGTCTTTACAGGATGGTCCAAAAGTTGGCTCTTGGCCCAAAGCTCCGTTCCACATGTGTGTCAATGCTGAGGGGGGTGAATTTTTTTGATCCACTCTAGTTTACTTGCTGTGAATTTTTGAAGTCTCTCGTTCAAATGGATGGAGCTGCACCGGCTGACGCATGCTCAGATGCGTTTTTTAACAATTTTCTTGTTGGCGGGACCACTCGCGGCCATTTTGGATAGCTCCAGTAGAGCACATTTTTTGGCCCATTAGTTAGAACGGCGGAGATAGGCGTGACTACGTCCATTATTTTTTACAGTCTATGGTCTCAACTGTTGATTCTCTGATCTGTGTTGGTGATTTCAATGGTTTTGTTAAGTCCTGTTAAGACTTCTGTTGTGATTTAGGGCTAAAGAATAAGTTGTTGTTGTTGTTGTTGTTGCTATGCTTTAAGCCGTGATTGGACAGACCCCTCTTCCTCTGGTCATAATTAGGTACACAGTATAAACACAAATCATTTTTAGGATAAAATGTTAAGTCTTTGTTACTTTGAGTTGTTCTCCAGGTCCTGGTAGATGTCGTCCACCAGTTCGCTCTGAGACGACTCGTGGGCCATGGCTTTGTAAAGCTTACAGGCGACAAGAGCTTTGGCCATGGCCTCCTCTCCGCGCTGCCACAGGAACAGCGCCATCTTCTGACGCTTCATCAAAACTGCCCACACCATGAGCTCGTGGAACGGGTACTGGAACCGGCTGACCTCCGGGTCGTCCACGTCGATGTCCACCTCCTCCTCCTTCTTCTTGTTCTTCTTCCCCTTCCCCTTCTGTCGCGGCTCGTCGTCCTGACGACAATCATTGATTCAAGAAAAACATATGAATTGGTGAAAATTACTCTTTATGATGAGATTTAAATTTGGGTCACCTACCTCCATTCCAAGAAGTTTTAAAGCTTTGGGCTGAAAATAACACAGAAAATGACTTTAGTTAGAGATTCATTCTATCACAATTTCCGTCATTTCCAAACTATAAGCCGCTACGTCATTTGAACCCTGTGGCTAATACGTTTATTATTATTGTGGTAGAGTTTGGCTGTTGTCAGAGCACAGTTTATGGACTTATTACTTTGACTCTTAACAGCTATATGACATTTGTTGATTGTCAAAACAGACGGATGAATGAGTCATGGAAGCTAATGATTAAGCTGTAAAAAACCATGTCATTAAATAAGGCCGTGTCGTCTCCCCGCTGCATTACTACATGAAAGCCTGCAGCTTTTGTTCCGGTGCGGCCTATGTGGACAACATTTTCTTTCTTTGTATATGTTGCTGGTACGGCTGATACACAGGTGAGCCTATAGTCCAGAAAGTATGGTACTTTTTATTGAGTAAACACACATTATTAAACTAATCAGTAGAATATGGGCGGCACGGTGGCTGAGTGGATAGCACTCTCGCTTCTCAGGAACAATGTCCTGGGTTCTCCTGTCTGCGTTGGTTTCTTCCAGGTGCTCTGGTTTCCCCTACCACTAAAAACATGTAAACAGGTCTGGCATGTGCCTCCTGTACTGGGGACCCCGCTCCCGTCTCTGTGAGGAGTGAGAGACAAATGCTCACAATTGTAAAGCGCTTTGTGACTCTGGTCTGTGAAAGGTGCTATATAAATAAAGATTTCTTACTTACATAACAGTATTATTATGCTGGTTATAAACAGGATTTTATCTTTACTTTTTTATTTGAATGCCTGTGATTGTTTCTATCTGGTTTTGTTCAGCACTTTGAGTTGCTTTGTGTGTGAACTGTGCCATACAAATAAACTTGCCTTGCCATGACTCATTCACAAATCTCTTTTGACAGTAAACTAATTCAATTAACTTTATTTTTGTATAGCCCAAAATCACAACAGTAGTTATCTCAGGGGACTTAACAGAACCGTTGAAATTGCCATCACAGATCAGAGAATCAGCAGTTAAGACAGAAATATAAATTGAATGCTTTTGTGTATTGGGAGAGACCATGAATGTTGATAAAGGTTCATTCTTGGCTTGCAGTCACGTGACGCACAAACTTCTGGTTGACAAAGTGGTGGTCAGGCCAGCAAGAGTTGCTGCTTATATGTGGAGAAAATGCGACTCTTCCAAGTATTTTTTTGCTTTTTTGACATTTCAAGACACTTTGAAGCTACTGTGGTGAACGTTATCACTCATCATTCTAACAATATGCACAAGGCAGAATTTTTCCACTACATGTTTTGGTAATATCAAGGTTGAAGCTAATGGCACCGCTGCAAATGCTAACATGCTAATATGCTGATAAGTCTCCATTCCTCAGCTGTGGCTAGCTCCTGTGGACTCACCACCTGCAGAAGGATCAGTGAGGGGCTGGTGCTAAGTGTACTGGGTGCAGCTCTGACTGCCACCCCCCCGACCCAGAAATGGATTAAGGGGAAGAAAATGGATGGAAAAATGAATGGATCCTCCGCTGTATGTCACTTACATTCTGTAACGTCTTTGTTTATGCTGCCTCTACCATCGACAATAAAACATGTCTTCTGTCTGAATTAAAGACAAGATCATAGACTGTCTTTTTATTCACTTTAGATTCTAACCCACAGCTAGTGTTACAATCAAGCTTTTGCACTGCTAAACAAATGAAGGTTTGGAAAAACATGGATGCTGCAACTTTTCCGTCTGTCTGTGGGTTTAAGAACTCAGAGTTGAGGTCCTGAAGGACACATCCTGCATCGTACAGAGCCGTGTAAGTAACAATTGGTGAATGAACTTATCATTCTCAACAAAACTTTGTGCGGTTTTCTTTTCAGGTCAAACATTCAGTGTTTATCTAAAACGCCAACTCATACCTGATTGAGATTGACAACCATGCCCCATGGAAAATAAAGAGGGTTAAAGGTAGGACACTCCCATGGCTGAACTCAGGTCTCTTGAACTCATACAGGCTAAGAGACCAAGCTTGGGCTAAGTATCATGCTAGCAAAGACCCTGAGGATTGGGAAATCTACAGACGTCTACGAAATGATTGCACAAATAAAACAAGAAATGCCCAATCTAATTTCTATAAGAATAGCCTCTCAGAAGACGTTCATAACCCTAGACAATTTTGGAAAAAACTTAATACACTTTTAAATCGTGATAATAAAAATTTGTTAAAAGAGATTTGTATCAACAATGAAAGTCTCTCTGAACCTGAGCAGATATCTCGTGTCCTGAATAATCATTTTTCTTATATTGGACAGGCATGCCCTACACCCTACAGGTACATGGCATTTCAAAATGAAACGCCATCGCACATTTTTGATTTCAAAACGATCTTGCCATATCAAGTTCTCAAAGTTATACGCCAGATGAAATGTAATACAAGTGCTGGGCCTGATGGACTGGAAGCAAAATTTTTTAAATATGCAGACATTGTTCTGGCGCATCCCCTGGCAGAGCTCTTTAACATGTCCCTTTCAACAAACTCATTGCCACCCATATGGAAGTGTGCCAGAGTTACACCAGTCCATAAAGGGGGTAATCCAACAGATATCAATAATTACAGACCAATCTCGATAATATGCACAGTCCAAAAGATATTTGAAAAGATTATATTTAACCAATTGTCCTCATATATTGAGCATAACAACATTCTGTCTCAGTGTCAGTCAGGTTTCAGAGCAAATCACTCAACAACAACTGCGCTATTGAATCTCACAAATGACATTTTTTCTGCCTTTGACAATCAGGAGCTAACTGGAGCAATATTCATAGACTTCACAAAAGCATTTGACACAGTTGATCATTACCTTCTTCTGGACAAACTTTATTCAATAGGTGCTTCCAGAAATGTTTTACTTTGGTTTAACTCCTACTTACATTGTAGAAAGCAATTTGTCACTGTACAAGGCACACCGTCAGAAATGGCCACAGTAAATAGAGGTGTTCCACAGGGCTCGTCTCTTGGGCCACTACTTTTTTCAATCTACATTAATGACTTACCTAAGATTATGACTAAGTGTAAAATCCACTTGTATGCAGACGACACAGTGTTTTATACCTCTAACAAAAGTCTGGCTGAGATTCAAGAATCACTTCAGACGGATCTTAACCTGATGCAGCTCTGGCTTGTTCAGCACAACTTAATCATGAACAAAAATAAAACATTCAGCATGCTTTTTTCAAAACACATGTGTCCAAATCAACAAAATGTATCCTTCTATCTGTCAGACGGAAGTAAACTCGAAAGAACAAATACATTTAAATATCTGGGGATGTGGATCGACACAGAATTAACCTTTCAACCGCATATCGAATACCTTACAAAAAAAGTGTATGCTTATCTTGGACAGCTGTACAGGTCTAATAACTGCTTTACGCAAGATGTAAAAAAGAAAATAGTACAACAACTTATATTGCCGATCATTGACTATGGAGACATAATTTACCAAAACACAACGGACACTGTTCTGAAACCTGTGACAGTTTTAATGAACTCACTCTGCAGGTTTGTGCTAAACTGTCATTTCTACACTCATCACTGTCTAATGTATAATTCATTGGAATGGTTGAAACCAAGAGAAAGGAGGCAGTATCATTGGTTAACTTTAGTTTATGAATGTATCCATAATGACCTTCCTGATTATTTAAAACAATATTTTATTCCATTCACATCTCAGCATTCTCTTCGAAACTTACTCCATCCCTATTTCAGAGTTCCACTGGTGAAGAGGGAGGTCGGCAAATATGCGTTTTGTTGTAAAGCTGTCAGGTCTGCTCCTCCAGCAACCCCTCCCTCCCTTGATTCTTCTGGAGGCTCTGCCTCATCCCCCTCCCCTACCTGTTCCCTGAGCAGGGACAGGTGTGCGGGAGCGGCCACAGACTCTGCCCAGCTGCCTCCACTCCTCAATCAAGTGGATACAAGTGCCTCTGAAGCCAGCTCCTCGACGCCAGATCGTAATCTCAGTTACAGTGCGTTTTGCCTACTCACCTGGTTGCTCCGTGGAGTTATATTTTTGACTTACCTGTTTTTCTCATTTTTCTGCAGATCTCCGCTCGGCCACGCCCGGCCCTTGTTCCGATCCAGATCTGGTTCCTGCCTTGTGATTTGTTTTTTGTATTTTGGCTTTAGTAAAGATTTTTTTGTTACACCGCCCTGGTCTGCATCTGGGTTCTTTGCCACGACGTGACAAAAGCCCCATATGACTGGAATAATCTTCCAGTTGAACTTCGGGCAGCAACATCTGTTCATTTATATAGATCACTATTGCACGACTATTTAAATAAACCATGTATATGCTAATTTCTGACCATATAAAATGCTCTATAACATTGTAAATTGTGAATGAGTGAGCGGAGAGCTTAAATATTAAGATTAAACTCCTGGTAATAATGTGTGTATGTATACATAATAATGTATATATGTGTTTGTGTGTGTATATGCACATGTGTATATATATATATTAGTGCTGTCCAACGATTAAAATATTTAATCGCGATTAATCGCATGAATTTCATAGTTAACTCGCGATTAATCGCAAATTAGTCACCCATTTGCGTGCTGTGTGCAATTGCTTTTTTTATTGAAAACAATGTGTAGTGTTATATTACACACTAACATTTGATGCAAAATCATCAATAAATGGATGACAAAATAAATAATTGGTAACAAAAAGCCCCTTCAATGTGTGTGTGGAGTGTGTGTGTTTATGGGTGTGGGTGTGTGTGTGTATGTGTGGGTATAGACCATAGACTGTATAGAAACATCATGGTGTCATTATGATGATGATAAACAATTTTTTTGTAAATTTGTTCATGTAAATACTCTATGCTGTTTCTCTGTTTACTTTCGGTATATCTATGACTGTATACTGTTTGCTTGTATTGCCTTTTTTATTAACCCCTCCCCCCCATCTCCCACTTCATGTCCCCCCCCCTCCTATGTGCCCTTCTGGGTTTCTTCTTTGGCCCCCTGTATCTCCAACTACATATTGTTTGTAATCTCTGTCTACAATGTATCTTAAACTAGTCCTTTTCTTTGTGTCTATTTTTTTCTGTATATGTGTTTGTCTGCAATAAAAAGTAAAAAAAAAAAAAAAAAAAAAAAAAAAAAATTTTTTTTTTATAATTATAAAAAAAATTAATGGCGATAAAAAAAATGACGCCGTTAATATTGATTTGCGTTAACGCGTTAATAACGCGATATTTTGGACAGCACTAATATATATATATATATGAAGATATTCGGAGTGAAATGCGTGGTTCTGGGATTAAGATACGTGGCTGTGTGTGTGTGTGTGTGTGTGTGTGTGTGTGTGCGTGCTGTGTGTGTATGAAATACAATATACTAATGTATGTATGTGTATATGATTGTATATGTATGTATGTGTGTGTATGTATATGTGTATGTATGTATGTATGTATATTTATATATATGTATATACTATATGTGTGTGTAGGTAGGTATGTGTGTATATATATATATAATTGTTAATAATTTATGTTTGAGTTACGCTTGTTACATTTCTTTGTTTTGTATTACTGATGTAAGCCATCTTATTTGTTAATTTTCTTTGATAAAGGACCCCCTTGAAAAAGAGATAGTTTATCTCAATGGGGCTATCCTTAAATAAATAAATAAATAAAAATAAATAAATACCTGACAATTAATTAAATAAAGATTTAGATGTAATAACTGTGCATTGTGACTCCATGGCTGGGTAAATAAATAATCCTTCAAGGTAAAAGCGTTTGCTAGTGAAATGTTAGCGAGCCACTTTTCCTGCGTCTTTTCGTAAAGTCCTTAGTGCGAGGCTCTTTATTAATCTCTTCACGAGGAATCCTAAAGTATCCATTAAAGGTTTCGCAATTCGATCGGTTAGAAAACTTAAAACAACACATGCAAAAGGCAGATTCAGACACGCTGCTCTAGTAAACAACTAGCTCGGCTGACCACCACTTTGTGATACGCATAATGAGGCGGACGTGACGTCAATTGCAAGCAATATGAAACCAGTGTCCTTTAGCTACAATAAATTTGAGTCAAAATGATACTTCCTTAAACTTTAGGGTCCAAAGAACAAGAGAACATAACACTAGAGACATTGTGGACACGGTTAATGGAAGTAGTTAATGGAATTAGGAAGTCACCCGTTTGAGTCCGTAGAGGTTGTTGTACAGAGCCCTGAAGCCCTTGCGTGTGTAGTTGCAGCGATAAGCCCCGCCCATCAGGAACTCCAGCACTAAACCGATGTCAATCAAAGTAATCTGGTAATCAGGGGGGAGGTTGCCCTGGAAACAAGAGTTCAATGAGTCATGAGGAGGAAAGGAGAAGTTGTATTGTGAAGATCTGAAATACCTTCTTTACGTCTCTGACCACAAAGTGCAGCGTGTTGGCGGGGCCCAGTTTCTGTGAAAAGACAAAACGTGACGGATGAATGGGGACTCAAGGAGATCACTCATTATCATGAAGATCGTCCTTCAGAAAGGTGCATCAGCGTCCTCCTGGGGGCCCTATCGTACATCAGCCTGCTGTCGAGGGCCAGACCGAATTTCCAATGTTTTTATCAGGCTTAACTTTAGTTTTTACACATTGATATATTTATGTATAAAAACCGCAGCCATATATTACATCATCAAGATTAGTAGTTTTCCTAAATGTCAATCTTTCTGGTGATATGTGACATAAGGCCGTCATACGTGCTCGTCAAACAAGAACAGTGTGTTTTTGGGAGATTCTTTCACACAATGGCGTACGATGAAAGCCCAGGTTTGGCTTCTCACTGATGTTTCAGACGCAAAGTTTCTTCTTGACAGGAAAAGTTTGCCATTGTATTTGGAGAAATCCATTTCAAATCACTTCCAGCTAAAGTGATCTACGTCTATACTGTCTGACAACGTGGAAAAAGGGAAAATCTTCATGGAAAGTGAGCTTGCGTGAACAGATGTCAACCAGTTCACACAAGTTCTTAAAGGCTTCTCAGCTCATGTTTGATGTAAACTGACTCATGTTTGACGTAAACTGACTCATGTTTGATGTAAACTGACTCATGTTTGATGTAAACTGACTCATGTTTGATGTAAACTGACCGTGTTGTAGAGCTCCTCGAGGCGCGGGATCGTGAGGAAGTGGTGGATGTTCACTCCGTTTTCAATCAACAGTTTGACAAAGTCCACACGGTCCAGAACCAGGGCGTCCATCATAGACTGCTCCAGGGCATTCACCTGCATGAGACCACAGGGACGAGAGTCGGTCAGACCAGAACGAGACCAGAGAGTGACCAGTGAGAGACCAGAGAGAGACCGGAGAGAGACCAGAGACAGACCAGAGAAAGACCAGAGAGAGAGACCAGAGATAGGCCGTAGAGAGAGACCAGAGAGAGACACTAGAGTGTGAGAAACCAGATGGAGAGACCAGAAGAATAATAAGAAAATAATGTATCTGATTAACATTCTGGTAAAACTGGACTTTTTGTGGATCAGGGGCTGTATTCTGAGCTTCTGGCCGTATCGCAGATGAAGTGCCATATTGAAGTGGAAACTCATCTTGAATTAGTGTCTACGATCTCCTCCTTTTGGTCATAACCCAAACCATGAAGTAAACACTGTGCAGAACACAGGGACTATTTATCTGCTGGTCCCCAGAGTCAGGACTAAACATGGGGAGGCAGCGTTTCAGATTTGGAACAATCTTCCTGACAATGTCAGACATGCTTCTACTCTGACCATTTTCAAATCCAGACTGAAAAGCTCTGTTTAGCTGAATCCAAACCAAACTACATTGGATGTTGTTGCCTTCAGCTAATCATGGAATAGTTGCTTGTCTCTTTAGTCATAATTTGATAGTTGATAATCATGTTTGTACCCAGTTGAGCAGTTCCAGTTTGCGTGGGTCTGTCTCTTTCGGAGGCTCTGGTTTCTTCTCTTTCCCTTTGACCTTCTTCCCTTTGGCTTTCCACTTTCCAGCCATCGTCACCACACGTTGAGCCGAGGCAGGGCTTTTGGGTCGGTCGCTGGCCATTCCAATGACCGGCTGCAACACACAGGGGTCACAAATGTTGGGAAGAATGAAACCGATGTTTGTTTATAATCTTTTCATTGTTATAGTCACATAGAAAAGTCATAGAGACGATAATCTAAACTATGACATAAAACAAGGCCTGGTGTGTGTCAAAAACAGCTTCTTTCCCACTGCCACTCAGTCCCTCAGCCAATCCCGGATGTGAAATGTCCCTGTTGGGTATATATGTTTGTTTTTGTAGGTTTCTGTAAGTCTTTGTATGTAGCACGGTTGAGCCATGAGCGTTCCTGTTGTGCCAGAAAAAAATCCACACACTTGTATGGACATTAATAAATTAATTGGAGAAATTGGAGTTTACTTGCGACATTTACACATTCACTTGCGCCACTCCCGCACCATCAACTAAGGGCTAATTTTTTCCTTCTGATTTCTCTCTGTCCTCTATTTGTGGTCTATTTTTCTCTCGTCTCAGGGCATATGAGCTCTGATCTCATTATTCACTCACAGGTGTCTAGAAGAGTTGGCGATATTCAAAAACATATGCATAATTTTGGGCAGTAGAAAGGACTCTCCAACATCAACCTCCATAGTCAGTGTTTATGGACCAATAGCCCCGATGTGTTTGTATTTATTAAAAGGTAATGTGTTTGGAGCAGACCGGCCAGTGGAGCCCATAGACAAAAATCTGGTTGCGTGCGATGTCCACTCGGTTCCAGGCCAGAGCGAGACTCAGCTGGTCGGTGGCACATGCGTTGGTCCCTGGAAAAAGAAGAGAAAACATTGAGAAACATGGGCATGCAACTTAGTCATCTAATATAAGCCATTTTTATAGGTTTGATTATGTGTAGTTACCATCACAGGCATGTATGAACAAACTCTAGTTTTTCATAAACTGGATTTCCGGAGTGGACCAGTAATAACCGGTTCCTGCTTATTGTTCATACCTGGATCATTGACTATGTACAGTATATCGATGGACAATGCTAATCCACAAACTCAATGAAGCCCAATAGGGAAGTGCTCATGGTGAAGTTTTGCTCAAACTCGCTCTGGCTCCTATTGACGTACATGTCAAAGTAAACTCCTCTAGCTCAGTAACTAGAAGTTTGTTTCATACTCACCATTTTAGTCTTTAAAAAAATATGTGTGTTACTCTCTTTGATCCTGGTGTTTGACCCTAACAACAACCCAAACAATTGATCAATCAGAAGCCTTTTTCCACTAAATTCGGCCTTAGCTAGCGAGTACTGTGAGAGGAGACAGACCGGTGCCGCTCCTGATTTGATCTTGATAACTCGGTTGTTGTTACCAATAAAATGTTCAGAAATGGCTCAACATTCCTGCTTGAGTTAGCGCTAATAGGCTAACACTACTGTGATGTCACACTCAGCCAGTCCACTCCTATTATCCAGTCTATAATCTTGATTTAAATAATCTTCTTACAATAAAAAGAGAAACATGATCATCGGGAGCATTGAGTGTGTGATTTTGAGCTGTTGCAGACTAGTTTATTGAAGGTGACAATGTTTGTTATTTTGTTATCATTTTCTATTTAAACACTACATTTTATAATGCAATGAATTATGTTGTTTTTTCTTTTTTGTTCATTACCATTGTTGGTATATTTTCTATTACCATTGTTGGTATATTATCTATTACCATTGTTGGTAACTGTTGTTACAATGTAAATTTCCTTGTTGCCCGTGGTAACGCCACTCTGGTATGACACTGTAAAATAACGCTTGAACGGTAACAGTGAAGTTGATCGTTTCATCACTGAATGGGGATATAGGGGTGGGATTAAATAAGTTTTTCTTCTTCCCACTCCTTTTCAGGCAGAAATATATGACCATGTTATATCATAGATTTTTGTTTATACATTTTTTTGTTTACACTGTTTTTTTTGTTTTGTTTATTGTGTTTGTCTGTTTGTTTTTTGCATTATATTATTTATATTACTTAATTGCATTTAATTACCTCGTTTTCTCACTTGTACCATTGCCTGAAATAAATGAATAAATGAAATGAAATGAATGAATGATACAGATGTTTAACTGAACTACAAAGACATTAAGACGTGTGGTTACCTTTTAGCAGAGCTGTGAGAATGGACATCTCGATATCCTGCTGTCCTTCGGAGCCCATTCGGAACACTGTAATCTGAACATGGCAAACAATAATCATTTTTTATGTAGATGAAGTCAGATTGGTTCAGATAGACTCGGGACCAGTGGTTTGAACCAGAAAACTGATGTTTATTGATCCATCAGCAACCCTGGTCTTGGTCCAGGCTCTTGGGTCGTGTCCACCTGCCACTGTTCCTCTTTGTGTCTGCTCAAGTAGAATATGAGTGGCCCTATGAGTTCAAAGGGCCAGATTAATGCAGTTTTATTTAGTGCTTTTCCGGACAACTCACATGACATTGTTCATTCACTCCATACACAATGTTGATAAATACTACTTTAGCTACAAGGGCAGAAAGGCGACCCTTGTGGAGAAGTCGGCGCAGTGGATTGGATATCTAAGTGTGGAAATCTCAACAAAATGTCTCAGCATGAAACAATGTACTGACAACATTTTGGAGTGTGAGCTTCCCCGGGGCTCAATCTTGAGACCTGTCCCATTTCCCCCACTGACACGTAACTACTGTATGTGCCTGGTTTCCCATAGTCATAAGGATGGTTTTGTTTTTAATAGACAAGAAACGAGCCCTGTGAGTCAGTATTTGACTCTGTGGGTTGAAAGCTGAGGGAGGGTGGTCTTCTCTGTTTTTCCCTTTTCTGTCTCAAAAAGCTGATCTAACAATGTGACCCGAAATATATGCATGTGAAAGCCAATGAAAGAACCAGGAACTAGTTGGATGGATTTTAAAACATAGTTGCATGTTTTTGTGGTTTGAAATTTAGGAACCCCAGCTTTGAGCCAACAGTGAGACTAGAAAAGTGCATTTCTGTGTTGTCGTTCATGAAATACAAACAATATGACCAGGAAATGAATACAACACAGATGACATTGAATGCAAATGGAATGTTTTATTAGACAATGACAAGATGGCTCCGTACACCTCAATGAGAGACTGTATAACACTGAAGATGAGAGGTCTTAACCCTTTAGACGCCAAAGTAGAATGATTGTTACATGAGCTCCTGAATCTAAGACACTTTTTGTACAGTTTTCTTGAATATTTATCTTTTATTTTATTTCTGTTATTGATTATAGCAGTCTTCCATCTCTTAAAGAGTTACAGGGCTCCACCTTATGTCAGTTTCACATAGAATTTCTAAGAGATTTCTGGCGCCAAAAGGGTTAAACACCGAGGATGAGAAGTCTTAAACACAGAGGATGAGATGCATGAACACTGCGGACGACGTGTCTTCTGCGCTGTCACGTACCAAAGACTTCTTCTTCATGCACTCGGTCACCATGAGGAAGATCTGCTGGGCCTGGCTGCGGCTGTAGTTGAAGGTCTTCTGAATCGTGACCATGAGCTGATCTTTGACACTGTCACTGACCGTCCTGCAAAAAAATTAGGAAAATATATCTGTATAAGACAGGGATACTCCTTATTTCTCCTCAAGGGGGCCACATTTTATTGGTTGGCTGTATGTGCTCTGGGCCTGGATAATTGTACAATCCATGACCACTTTAAACATTTAACAGTAAATGTATCACACAATCTCTCAGTCGGTTACAATCTATTTTTGGGGGGGAAATAAATGCAAAATTAGCTCAAATCTAAAACTGGGCAACTACCAACCAGATATAAACTTCAGTCATATTTTTAGAGGTAGGGATGACGGAGTGATATTATTTGGATAGGGTAATGCTGCTAAATCCTGTCTCCACATAGACTAGAGGCGACCCGCGGTACTGCAGCTTAAATCCACACAAGCTGTATTTTCCCATAGACCTTAATTTGAACTGAAATGGCTCGTCCTGGGAACCTACAGCTTTCACATCAGATTTTGAGGGGGTTTTAGTGTCTCTTGTTATCCCAAACTTTTTTTTGTGTGGAAATCCATCATTTTTCAAAACAAATTTGAGCCCCGGTACTTGAGACAGACAGGGGCAGAACACGCTAACTCACACAGAAATGCCCCGACTGAAGATGGCGTCAAACCCAGAACCTAATGGTGATTCGTTGCCTATTCAAACTGTTAAATCTGGTGCTATTGCCTGGTGCTATGTGTGGGGCATTTGGATCATGTCATGCACAGATGGTTTACACCGTGTGACCTCCAGGAGCTGATCTGACCGCTTTGCTTTTAAAACCAGTGTCATGTTACTTTAATAATGTTTATCTTCTGAATTAACAGAGTCCCATGCAAACCGTTATTAACCTTTGTACAAACACTTAATATTACAGCAGCACAATGATCTGCCATTGAGAGCTGTAATCCGGACATTACACTGCTGTGATGAAATGTGTGTGTGTGTGTGTGGCTCAAATTCACTCTACACCATCTAAACAAGTGTAGCATCAAAAGTTAGCCTCAGAATTTCCGAACAAACCCACTGATTATATTCATTTAAATGTTACAATCATAGTTGTTTGGCTTCGAGAGCAAATACAATCATGCGGCATGGGCTTTTAGATGCCGCTTGCAGCTTTAATTGTTCTTGTAACTCCTACCCATCTTCCTCGCAGTACTTGTGGGCAAAGGAGAGGATGTCGGATGCCCTGCCGCTGCCGTCACACACCACCACAGGCACCGGCGGCTCCTCTTTCAGGCTCTCCAGCACGATGGAGATCACGTTAGGACCTCCTTCCAGGATCAGACAGACCACCGGCACGCCATGGCCCAGGCCTGGAAACAGCAGCAGTAATGGTAATGATGACATGGCGGTGAGAGTTATGACAAAAAGCGACAAAAATGGATCAGCAAATTCAATTCAATTTAAAAAAACTGTATGTACTGTATTCGTGAGGAATCTGGCCTCGACTAAAAAGCGTTGTTATTGTAAATGGCTGTGAGTGAGTTTTGCTGCTGTCCAATGATAGTGCTGCTGATTTTTATGATCTTATCGAGGGAATTCCGATGTGTGAGACTGAGTGAACCAAACCTGGCTGTGATATTGAAAGTGAGAATTGATTCAGTGAAGTGTATGTGAAAAACTGGTAGAAATTATTTGCGAACCTGAAGTTTACAGAGTTAAATAAAAACACAGTCCACAGTATCATGCTAAAAGTAATACACAGTTGCCAGTATCTTTGTACAGTTGAGCCATGTTAAAGCTGGGGTACTTAACTTTTAAACCACAAATAATAGTGCTGAAATACATGGCACGAGTTTCTGGCTCTAAAATAGTTTGCTTCCATCACGAGTTTTCACATGCACGTGAAATGGGGCAGCATAGTGGATTGCGCGAGAAGGTCCTGGGTTTGATTCTACCTCCAGGACCTTTCTGTGTGGAGTTTGCATATTCTCCCTGTGTCTGCTCTGGTTTCCTCCTGCTACCACTAAAAACATAGTGTTTTAGTGTAACTGTGGGAGTACAGATGCAAAGTAGCTACGATTTGGATTTACAGTAACGGCTGTTCATGAATACACATTTACATTATACCGTCAAAACCAAATAAATACAAATGCAACACTTTTTGGCCTCTGTCGGATTCAGATTCAGTTTATTTGCCATTTGCAGTAAAAAAAAAAAAATACATTGGAATACATTAGCAAAAAGTCGCATCTTTATCTCAGATTTTTCAGACAGAAAATTGAAAAATAGAGATCCACCCTCACTCAGCCCATTAGCTCTCAGACCAAAGCGTCTCCCAGGATTCTTTCTAAAACAAAAGACAACATGTTTTCTCATTGGATGAAGACATTATGATGTGATCTTATTTGACATTATACTTTTGCCAGACCTACTGTTGCAACAAGCGTGTGTTATTTGTGTGTGGGGGGAAGTCAGGTACCCCAGCTTTACAGTAGTGATAGATTACATTACAATTGTCCAGAAATGCTTGTCTTGTGTTTAGTTTCCGTTGCACAAACACAGTGAAACGTCTTCGGTGCCTTTGTCTCCGGGTTGTAGTGAGAGGTGACAGCTGAGCCTCCCTTTGTGGTCCCTGCCTCTCAGACAGCCCCAGGCATAGGATGACAAAGGGAAACCCACAGGTCACAGGACTCGGGCCAGGAGCACGACATTGCATCATCACAACATTACACCATCACATTACTCCATCACACACAGGGAGAGGCCTCTGTCTGCCGGGTAAATAAATATCACACATGTATATAGATGGACAATGCTAACCTGCTAGCTTGGTCCCAACCTAACTTACTCTCGCTCCTATAGACTTCCGTTAAAACTCTTCTATCTCAGTAAATGTTTGTGTCAGCATGACTATTTTGGACTTAGAAAATCTGTACTTTGGCACTGAGCTTTGTGATCCTGGTTAATACACATATAGTCTTTGTAAATCCAGATATTAACCATATAAGGATCGACCAATAAGATGCCTTCCCTAGTGGGGGAATCTCCAACTTGCCTTAGCAACACTTCTGCCCCGTTTGATTGTTTTTAAAGCCCAAAATGGTGAGTATGACATAAACGATTACTTCTTTTCAATGTAAGTCAGTTGGAGCCGGAGCGAGTTGGTTCATTTAGTTAGCTGGATAGCATGAAGATGAATAAATACATACCACAAGAATTAAAGTGAAAAATAAGGTATGAAGGTGTGTGTTTTTCTGGGTCAGGTCTATGCACTTGTAGAAAATGTAGTAGTTTAGTTTGTCTTGTTCCGTATGTTCTGTTTGGGATTGTCTGTTAAGTGTATTTTTGATCCGTGTTATTTTTGTTGTGTTACTGTTAAAGGTCCATGTGATTTGTTTTGTAAGTTAGTTTGGTTTCTGTGGCTGAACTCACGTGTGTTGATCCTCTGCAGAGAGATGTGCTTCTCCAGTTGCCTGCGCAGTCGGACCTCGGCGCCGTACTTTCCCGTGGTTCCGTTGTCGGCGAGGATGAAGTGCGAGTGGAAACTGTTCAGCACCGACAGTTTGCTTAGAGGGTTGGACATGGTCTGGTACGGCCTCGTCACCTGAAAGAGACATGGGGTCACTCCATGGGCAGAACATGCAAACTCCACATAGAAAATTCCAGTCTGGAGGTGGACCTTCTTGCTGTCCCGTGTAACTTAATTGGAGCCAGAACGAGTTGGAGCAAAACTTTCTGACTGAATGTCCTTTCTACATAAAGCATGTTTTTGAATTTTGTCACCATCTAGACACTTCCTATGAGTAAATAGTGAGACCAGAGTGGATATGTTCTTCCATGTGGAGCTTGGGGACAGTTTTGTTTGCTGTTTTGAACTGCTGATGCTGCTGCTGAAATGGGAGCTGTGCTGTTAGGCTGCTTATCCTGCACAATAAACAAACTATTCACAGAAGCTGCTTCCAAAATCATTTTCCAGCAATAAGATATCTCCCTGACTCTAGAACATGTCTCCCAGACGTACATCTTTGCCGATCAGGTCCTCCTTGTTCTCGATGATTCCCCATGGAGCGATGCCGATAGCACAAACTTTCCCTCTGGATTTGGATGAGTGTTCCTTCAGTGCGTCTCCAACGTGCCGGATCACTCCTGTCACGGAAAAAGTCAGAAAAACAACTTCAAAATGTGCCTTTGCAGCGGAAGGATCTACCGGCTGAGCCATGGACGTGCAAGAGATGTTACAATGTCATTCTGATGTCGAAAACGTCTGGTTGTTTTCATTATAAATATACAGTACTAATACTCAAACACAAAGATTTACAGTACTAATGTCCAGACCTAAGTGAAAATCCAAGTTCCCAAACTCTTTCAGTCTACCTGAGATTGATTAGTTTACTAAGGGCTAATTGGCAAGATGTGCAAAACTAGATTCGCAAAACTTGTAGAGCCTGTTGCAGCGTCTATCATGCCCCTAATGGGCTTCCAACAGATGAAAGAAGGGATTACGTATTGAACAAAGGTGTATCTTTCATGAACACTAATGAGTTAAACATGATACATATTTATTGTTTTGTAAAAAATGTCGTGAAATATTGCATTTTCTCCTCTATGTGTGTGTCCAGAGTTGGGTCATGACAACAGTCGCTAAGGAGCTTTTGCTGTCTCTTTCCTGAAAATGTTTTTGAGAGTGTAGAGGACACATATATATATTTTTAAAAACATATTCTGTGTGTGCGGTTGTTGTGGCCGCGTTATAATCAGACGGAGAAACTCATTACATCAATCAAAGGGAAGAGGTTTAGGCTGACAGCTGATAAAAAACGTCAAAAAACAGCTCAATGGGTCGGTTGATCTATAGCAAATATGACAAAAGATTCTCGTCGTATTAGTACTTTTGCACACATACAGTGGATCATATAGAATAACTGTCCGTCCTTATTGTGGCTGTCTGTTGCAGAGGAGCCCACCTGTGCTGACGCCACCGGTGAAGATCCAGGCTCCGGTCGTGACACTGGCTTTGATCAGACCCTTCCCAAAGACCTGCTTGAGTTTGGGGGGCAGCTCGAAGTTCTGCAGCCCCCCGTGGACAGACACCAGCAGCGTGGGAAGCTCCAGCTGCCACTCCTTCACCATCATCTGCAGCAGCGAGTCGGGCTTCGAGTCGTAGGCCACACGGAGATACTGCAGGGACAGAAAGGGACACGTCAGCATTAAAGATTATTATGTGTGATCACAGGTGAGGGAGAGTCCAGAGAGAGGGCAGAGAGAGACCACAGAGACCCAGGGAGAGGGCAGAGAGAGACCAGGGAGAGGACAGGAGAGACCAGATAAAGAGTAGCAAGAGAGGCTAAAGAGAAGCCAGGGAGAGACTAGAGAGAGACCAGAGAGAGACCAGAGAGAGACCAGAGGACAAAGAGATACCAGGAAGAGGCCAAATAGAGAGAGGCAAGAGAGACCAAAGAGAAGCCAGGGAGGGAAACCAGAGAGAGATACCTTAGAGCGATACCAGAGAGAGACCAGAGAGAGAGAGAGAGACCAGAGAGAGATCAGAGAAAAAGACCAGACAGAGAGAGACTTGAGTAAATGACTAGATTGCAGAGTTGGTTGGATGACACTGTGAACTTGTGTTTATGACCTCAATGGTACTTTGTGTTAGAGAGGCGAAGGGCCACATGACATGACTCCGAGGGCCCTAATTGTTCCGCAGGCCAATCCAACATGCAAGGCCCTCTGCCACAGCTCAAATTCCCATTTTATGTCTTTCATTACTTTAATAAATCACACAAGGACAAACACTTCCGATCATTTTAAGAATGGCCATAACAAATGCCGCGGAGAGCGTTTTCCCATTAAAAAGATATTTGGTTTGAAATTCCGATGCAATGGCCCTCATGTTTCCTCATTCTCCTCATTGATCTGATGTACTGTCTGAAAACCTAGGTTGGAACACTGACCATGGCCTTGTTGACGTGGCCCCCGCCCTGGAACTCCACCACGCCGTATGCGTCTGTGGGCACGGCCTGGGTGTGTTTGAGCGCGCTCCATCGCTCGCCCGGCTGCAGCTCTAGGGCGGTGCTACTGGTGTCCTGTGGCACGTGATCCGCCACCAGCTTCCCACAGCTGCACCTGAAAACAGCAGGAGATCATAATAATTATAACAATGCATTGGTTTTAGACACTTCATAAGTCATTCATTCACTCCATACATGGTGGTGATAAACTACTACTGCTAGCCACAGCTGCCCTGGGTCACACTGACAGGAGCAAGGCAACCAGTATGTGCCGTCGGCCCCTCCCACCGCCACCAATTGTTCGTGCACGGACCAGACTCATTCTAATGTGGGTGAAGTGTCTTTCTTGTGACACACTTGGTCATTCCACTCCTAATATGCGGGCTATGGGTCCAACAATGTGTGTGTGTCTGTCTACACCAGTTTTCAGGGTGTGTGTGTTTGTGTGTCTTCAGTCTTTACCTGAGAATGTCTTTGCTGGGAATGATCCGGGAGCATTCTCGTTTTTGGAAGGTTTTATCGATCCACGCCCGGTGAACCTGTGAAGGAAACAAAAATAAAACGATTATTCTTCTATTTTCTCAGACACAGGTCGAGTACGAGTTCTATAAGTCATTGAATTCCTGTAAAGTATCACTCAATGAGACGCTGGTAATGTATTTTATGACAAACACTATTGTGCTTCGTTAGAGATGAGGCGATTGGGTGACTTATTTGTCTCTGAGCTGGACTGGGAACTCCTCAGGATTTTCCCGGATGAGCTGGAGGAAGTATGTATGGAGATGGAAGCCTGGGCGTCTCTGCTCAGACAGCTGCCTCTACAACCCGGCAATGGATAAAGCAGAAGAACATGGATGGATGGATGAGGTTCTTTTAATGGTGCTGAAGATGAAAATCTACTGTATGTATTCATGTCAAACAACTGAGTCCTGTAATAAGCCTGAATAAAAAGAAATATACTGAATTCAAAAAATTGGCTTTATTCACAGTTATTTTTACTCTGAACAAAATTAGACTTCTAACGTTGGTCGTAAATATTGTGCCAGAACCCTGAAACCACATTCTCTGCACGTTCTGTTTTCACTAATGCACTCCACAATCGGGCTAATTACTGCACACCATTCCTTTCTCTTTTAAAATCCTCTTTCTCCTTAATCCGTTTTTTTTTTTTTTTTTTTAAGCCCCTAATGACCGTCTCCATTGTGCTGGCTTAAGTCGGAGCGTGTGGGTTAGATTCCGGCTCTCTGGATAATGGCACGTTAATCTCACATGACGAGGGTTCTCTGCAATCACAAGCTGAGCATTGGGAACGGCATTAGAAGAAAGAGTTGCATTGTAAACACATTGTCGGAAGCATGGACAAGTCACAAGGAAGTGCACTGGAACCGATATTGAAGAAACAAGACGAGAGATACATACAGAGGGTGCATTGTTCACAGAAAACTATATAAAAAAAAAAAAGGCAAAAATCACATAACTTTGCTTTTTCCCTTTGAAAGCAGTTAGATGGTTTTAAATACTTCAAAATAATCTAACCCAGCTTTAGTGAATACAAACGCATCATGCTTATATTATGTATGTCACATTTTGCTTGAGAAATTCCATTTGGGGCTATTTCTTGCTCTGCATTAAAGCCGGGGTTTGTAACTTTTCTCATAACTACTACATTTTGTTCGTCCAACGGAAAGAGTTTTGGAAAAGAAAAATTGCGAATAAGTCTGATCACAACACACACAAAACTACAACCTCAACATTTAATCTCTCTCTCCAGGGCTTTGAAAAAAACAAAATGTGAAATTCTTTGGAAAATAGACATTGATCTGGTTTCTGTTTTTTTCCCCCCATTTTTGAATTTATCATCTGTGATATTTCATCCCACAAACCTTTGCAAAGCCTCATCTTTCCTCCTGCTTGTGTCTTCATCATCGCATGTTGTTCCTCAGACGTCCTGCTGTGGTCCACGGGTCTGAGGTCAGGTCTTAGGGCTTTGAATGGCTCGTTGGATCTCATCTTCTGCCACGGCCCAGTAGTGTTCTGCTCTGCTTTCTGCTACTGTCCACTCTAGTCTTGGGGCTTTGAGTCTACAGCTTAGGTCTCTGCTCTGGTCTCTGCTCTGGCCTCTCCTCTGGTCTCTCCTCTGGTCTCTGCTCTGGTCTGGTCTCTCCTCTGGTCTGGTCTCTGCTCTGGTATGGTCTCTGCTCTGGTCTGGTCTCTGCTCTGGTATGGTCTCTGCTCTGGTCTGGTCTCTGCTCTGGTATGGTCTCTGCTCTGGTCTGGTCTCTCCTCTGGTCTCTGCTCTGGTCTCTCCTCTGGTCTCTGCTCTGGACTCTCCTCTGGTCTTTGCTCTGGTCTCTGCTATGGTCTGGTCTCTGCTCTTGTATGGTCTCTGGTCTCTGCTCTGGTCTCTGCTTTGCTCTGGTCTCTGCTCTGGCACGGTCTCTTCTCTGGTCTCTGCTTTGGTCTGGTCTCTCCTCTGGTCTCCGCTCTGGTCTCCACTGCCGTCCGAGGGTCTGTGCTGGGTCTTGGTCCTTCCTCTGGGACTTTATGCGTTTTTGGGCGTTCATATGACCACCATGTGAGCGAAGGCCTCTTTGTTGGTCCCATGACTCTCCATAATCCAGCCTCAGTCCCATGACCACTGCTGCAGCCGCTTCTTCCACCTCTTCCACCAAATCAGCTTTGAAAAACACTTCTTTCTTGGCAGTTTTAAAGCCGGAATACTTCATTTTGAAACCACAGAAATGAACTAAGCAGTAGAATCCATGAAACTAACTCCTCACTCTCAAAACACTTTGCTTCTATAGTTCTACTTTGCACATGTATGTATTTTTATCTCCTGTCACATATTTAGATCAGCTTTTTCAGACAGAAAAGTGAAGAAGAAAGGACCACCCTGAATCAGCCAATCAGCTCTCAGCCCAAAGCGTCAAATAGCGACCCTTGCACAATGGATAATATGTTTTCTGAGATGTGGTCTGATTTGTTCATGTTACTTAAACAAAACAAGTAAAACACTAATTACTATTACCAAACAGTTTAGTATCTGGGCTGGTTCTCACTATAGGTACAAAAGTGCGACAGAGTTTTTTAATTTTGTAATTTTGTTTGCCATTTTCAGTAAAAAAAAAAAAACACATTGGAATACATTAGCAAAAAGTCTCCAGTGTCAAGTTCTCAAATGAGAGGCTGATCTGTTTTTTGTTTTTTTTAAATGTCACCAAGAATGTATTTGGCGACAATACCTCGTGGATATGTCTGTATTTGAAATCTTTTTTTTTCTAATCTATGATATATAATCATTTTAGTTTTTGAGTTATAACCTTAAAGTCCAGATACTTTCATTGACACTTTACTGTGAACGCACACATTTGCTTTTTAAAATGTTCTGTGCACCGAAGCTTTGAGAGCACTCAGACATGTGTCCCCTTTGTGCCAATTCTTCTAACCGTGAAGTAGTTCCACTAAAATAGTTTTGGAAATTAGTGTCTCCAGTTTAAACCTCATTCTTTACAACGGTGTGCCTTCAATTAGAACTTCCTCTGCGACAGGAGCGACCATTCTTCACTCGTTCTACTATTTTAAAACATGAAATACCATCAGAAATGATAGAAATCCATTTATTTACATTTACTTCTCTTGTTCATAATATATCTTGCACAAGAGAGAGTATATTTTCAACCTTTTCACATTTTTGCACAACCTCAGTGATTCTTTCGATGACAAATGTGACGCGTACATTTGTCCGTTGTGAGATCAATAAAGTTATTCTTATTCATGTTTTTTACGTGATAAAGCAGATAATCTAATCAGAGAGCAGATTGAGGCTCTCAGTTGGGTTGCCAGTTTGTGAGGTCAAATGTAGCTGGATTTGGTTGTTGGCTTTGTCTTTTTAAAACAACCAAAATCCCCACTTTGTTTTACTAATAACAAGTAAAGTACTTTCTGGAAAACACCCACTACTTCTGTGAACTCTGGCCTGTAAAGTGTATATGCGGCGTGTGTTTTACTTTTGTTAGCATCCTGCCGGACCACATGACAAAGATCACATGACAAAACACATTCCTGCTTCACTGTGTTTATGTGAACTTAATATTTTTAGTCTGATGGGACTCATGTGTATTGTCAAAACAGACTGTATTGTTTTGCTCTTTCAGCTCTTGGGTAAGTGTCACATAACAACATGCAAACGTGCAGCTTTTATTCATTGCATTGTTAGCTTGTACCATTTCTAGCTAAATCCCAGCAGGTGGATTGCATCAGTAACCAGTGCTGATGCTTACATGTGTCACAGAAGGAGGATTCTGGCCACAGTGTGATTGCAATGACTTTATAAGACCACCAAGAGTACAAACAGCCACTTTTACACTCTATATTTGATTAAAAGTATATGTCCGATGCTCAGTCTATAGATTCATGTTCATCAATGTTTTACTTGGGCTGTTATCAAAGTCGCAAAACAGGAACAGAAAAGAGGCTCGGAGGATTAGACTGCTTTTCACCCGCTCCACAAAACAGTCTAAACTTTGTCAAAACACACAATCTTTCTTTTTCGTTTGATTTACTGTCTGGCTATTACAGATGTTTGCGAGATGGACAGAGGTTTCAAACTTCTGCACAAAATCTGCTTTCAGTTTGAAAATGACATTCATAATTCTCATAAACTGCCACCAGACTAACAGCTTTGCAAAACCACTACTGAGACTGTGGTTGGCCCTCGCTTCTCAGCAAGAAGGTCACAGGACTGAATCATGTAAGGAACTTGGCCTCTTTGAGTGGAGTTTGCATGTTCTCCCCATGTCTGCATATGTTTTGTCCAGTTGCTCCAGTTACCCATCAAATTAAAAACATGTACATCAAGCAGATTGAATCTATTTCTAAAGAACAGAAGGAGACTGAAAAAAACCCAAGCCCCATCCAGGACTATGTAACAGATCACATGGTACCGTGGCCTCACAGCAGGAAGGTTGCACATTTCTCCGTGGGTTTCTTCCGGGTGTTCTTCTCAAATCATATTTAAGTAAGATCCTCCAGATGTTGATGGTCCAAGAGCATCAACATCTGGAGGTAGTGGCCCCTGCTCCTGACATTTGGTGTAGTTAGTGAAGGATGTGTCCTTATGCAGAGAACACATTTTACTAAAGTAAAATAATATCTACAGATACAGTCTCCTGCACTGGCTTCCTGTGGCTCAGCCAATGTTAGTGCCATATGAACCAACTCAGACTAAGAGGGGCACAGGGACTTGCCTCATGCCCAGAGTCAGGACTAAAATGGGGAGGCAGCATTTCAGATTTATGCGGCAAAGTTTATATAGTCTTTCAGAAAATGTGAGACAGGCTTCTACTCTGATAATGTTTGAATCCAGGTTAAAAAAAGTTTTGTTTTTTGCTGCGTATACAACTGAGGGATTGTATTTTCACTATTTTTATTGAAATGTCTTTATTTTCCAAAAAGTTCTACCCAAGAACCAATTGATTTGGTCAATAAAACACAGTTATTCTCATCCTAAAAGTTTTGAAAGAGATTACATTTATTCCTT